GCTGGCCTTGAGCCATCCATCCTCCTGCCTCAGCCTCCCAAGCCACTGGGATTGCAGGTGAGAGCCACCATGCCTGGCTTTTCTTTCTTTATTAAAAATTCATTTTGAGGCAGGGTCTTGCTAAATTGCTGAGGTTGACCTTGAACTTATAATCCTTCTTCCTCGGCCTACCAAGTAGCTGGGATTACAGGCGTGCACCACCATGCCTAACAGTGCATTACTTTTTTTTTTTTTTAGTTGTAGATGGACACAATACCTTTATTTATTTGTTTTTATTTTTATGTGGTGCCAGGGATCGAACCCAGTGCCTCACACATGCTAGGCAAGTGTTCTACCACTGAGCCACAACCCCAGCCCCAGTGCATTACTTTTTAAATTAAACTGTGGCCAAGAGTTGGAAGTAGAAAAGCCCCCAATTTATCCACTCACTATCCTGACCAGGCGAACTGAGGCCCTAAGGGATAGAATGGGGTATTCATTGAATGCCTTCTAGACTGTGGTCTTTGAGAAATCATTTATTCCCTCTGAGCCTCAGTTTACTCATCTTTAGATGGGACTGGTCAGAGTGGGTGGCTGTATGGATTCCACTAGTCCTTGGCTGTGGAACCTTGGAAGAGTCACTCAACCTCTCTGTGCCTCATCTTCCATGTGGAGTGGGGGTAACCGGCATACCTGTGGTAAGGACTAAGGGAGGTGACCTACCGCATGCAGGATTTGGCACAGGGCCTGTTCTGGGTAGGAATTCAGAACTCCCAGCCCTCACTGGCATGTGCACCACGGCTTGGCCCAGGGCCAGCTGGAGAATGTTTGCCTTAGTCAACACCTTTCCCTTTCCCTTTATCTCATTTAATCCTCGCTGAGGTGGTTGTTTTACAGATAAGGAGATAGAGGTTCAAGAGATCATTGTTGCCCCAGGTTACATGGAGAGGGAATGGGAAGGCCTGGATTTGAACCCACCTCTTCCTGGGCCCTTCTCCCTGCCTCTCCCCACACTGTTGACCACCACCTACTCTGTTCTAAGACTGTTTTGGATCTCTCCATGACCGTCCCAGCAGCCTCACTGAGTAGGTTGCCCCTGGGAGTCTGGTTTCACAGACCAGGTACCTGAAACCCAGAGAGGTCACTTCCTAGCTAGTGATCACACAGCCAACAATGACCAAGCTGGGCCACCTGACTCCAGTCCCCTCACTACCTAAGTGTGACCACATCCATGATGAGCCCCTTCAACCCTGTGGCTAGTAAGACCCGGCAGAGTTAGAATGTGAGTTTGTTTTTTTCCATGATCCAATCAACACTCAATCTGCAGAGTGCCATCTCTGTTTGCCCTCTGTAGGGTGGCCCTGGGGACAGCGTGGTGACGGACTGGCACCTAGCCCTGTCCTGCCTTCCAGGAATTCACAGTCCAGTATGGGAGACAGACGGGTCCCCAGACAGTGATGACCCAGAATACGCAGGCTAGGGGTGTGGGAGCCCCAGAGGCTGCAGGCCTAGGCTGGGGGTGGTCCCAGAGGGCTTCCAGGAGGAGGAAGTCTCTGCGCTGGAGATTGTCGGAGGCAGGTTGTGGGAGACGCAGGTTCCGAAAGACGCTGGGGTGGGCCTGGTCCACGGAGCAGCGGCGCCCCCTGCTGGAAGAATCCCACAGTGCAGTGAGCTGGGCCTGCAGGGGATTCCAAGAGCTCGGCTTGGCCAAGTTCAAATCTTGTACGCACCCCGCTCACGACTCTAGAACTTGATTCGTTCATTCGCCCAACGAATGTCCATTGAGTACCTACTTTGCATCAGGCTCTGTTCTGGTGCCAAACATACACTGTGGACAACAGAGTCCTGCCTTCAGGAGCTGACAGGTCCCTAGGGGGGAAAAGGAACCAGTAATACGATAGTAGCTAATTGGTACTAAGTACTTCCTTCGTGCCAGGCCCTGATTAAAAAAAAAAAAAATACTGTCCACATTAACCAATTCAATCCTTGCAGACTTCAACTGTTCCCACTTTACATATTAGATAAACCGAGGCACGGGAAGTTAATTGCCTAAGGCTGCACAGCCAGTGAATGCTGGAATCACTTTGAACCCAGAACCCAATTCTTACCCAACGCGTCCCCAGCCCCGAGGATGTCATATGTTATGAAACATGTTATATAAAATGATCTTAGACCCTGAAAAGTTTCATGAACAAAATCAAGCAGAGAAATGAAGCAACGTTTTGGTGGGAAGGTGCCCTTAAAAGGAGCAATCACAGCTGGGAATGGTGGCCCATGCCGGTCATCCCAGCAACTTGGGAGGCCGAGATGGGAGGATTGCAAGTTCCAGATCAGCCTCAGCAATTTAGTGAGGCCCTAAGCAACTTAGCCAGACCCTGTCTCTAAATAAAAATAAAAAGGGCTGTGGCTGTGGCTGAGTGTTTAAGCGCCCCTGGGCTCAACCCTACGTACCCAAAAAAATAAAAATAATAAGAGGAGCCACCAGGGAAGGGCTCTCAGAAGAGGCGGCCTTTGTGAAGAGACTTGACAAACGACGGGATCGGAGGGAAGGGAGGTAAATCGAGGCAAAGGCCCGCGGCAGGCGCTGAAAGAATGTCGTCGGTCAGAGTTTTCAAGATTCCAGAGTGGCCTTTCAGGCCCCAGGTCAGGTTCGACGTGGCCGGGAGGCTGCGGGCCGCGGGAGCCTGAGGCTCTGGGATCCCGGGGCCGCGCGGGGGCGGGGCCGCAGTTCCCGCGGGATGTGGGCGGGGCCGCTCACCTGCGGGGGCGTGGCTCGCGGTCGCCCCGCCCCCGAGGAGCCGCCCGGCCGGGCCGGGCCGCGGGCGCAGCGGGCGCAGCGGGCGGCGGCCGGGCGAGAGGGGCGCGGCGGAGCGGTCCGGAGCCCTCCGCGGCAGGTGGGCGCCGGGGAGGGGCGCGGCGGCGGGGCGCCGCGGTGATGGGGCGCGGGGGGCGCGGCGGGGCCTGGCGCGCACCCTGGGCCGCGCGCCTGTGGGCCCGACGGACCGCGGCCCCTGGACGCCGCCGCCGGACCTGGGGCTCCCTGGTCCCGAGGCCCCGCCGCGCCGCGTCCTCCCCCGCGCAGGTAAACAGGGCGAGGATGGGGCGGGGCCTGGCGGAGGGAGGGGACCCTGGTGACCTGCGCGAGGCCACCGCCGCCAGAGGTAAGGTGAGGGGCTGGGGGCCGCGCTGGGGTCCTGCTGCGCCGGCGCGTGAGGCCCGAGCGACTCGGTGCGCGCGCGAGTGTGCGGGGTGTGAGTGTGGAGGGGAGATGGGCGGCCGCATGACCCCGGGACCGGGAACTTTTCTGTGATGTGACCTCTGGTTGTGTCTGTGATGGAGGGGGGTGTGCGTGTGTGCGTGTGTGTTGGGAGTCGGGCTGGTAACAGGACTTCGTGTGTGCAACCCAGAGATCATGTGGCTGTCGGTGACTTTCTGCTGGCAGCTGTAAGATTAGATACGGGTGTTGTGTGGCGGCCCTTGTCCTTCTGCCTGTAGGATGGAGTGTGTGTGCGTAGGGGACTGAGGTTGACTTCTGAGTTGTGTCACAGTGCTGGTGTCCCGGAGTTGTGGGTGAGTGTGCCCCGAGGCTGGGCTCTTGCCTGGGTTACCAAGTGTGGAGCCATGGGTCTGGGAGAGTGAGGTGTGTATGGAGAGGAAGCCAGTGAGAGTGTGCGTGTGTGTGTGTGTGTTCTCCACAGTTGCTGTGGACTGCCAGCGAGCGTGGAGTCCTCTCTGTGGGGAGTGATGTGTGGTTGGGATTGTCCTGTGCCTGGATGACAGGATGGAAGAGGAGAGCCATGTGTGGGCTGTGCCTGTGATTACTACTCTGCTGGCGGAGCCCATGAGGCTCTATATGAGCGCACGCAGGGGCTGGTGTTTGTCTCGGTGACAGCCTGAGTGATGGGTGGCTGTGGCCCAGCTGCAGCGGGGCTGTGGCCGGGCTGTGGTGCCCTGGCCTGGGGTGGTATGCGGGAGGCCGGGTCTGATTGCGGGTGGTGTGTGTGGGGGAGCGGATTGTTACATTAACAAAACTGGGTGAATACTTTATGTGCTTGTCAGGCTGGCCCTTGATGGATTTGTGTGACTGTGAATGTGACCATCTATGTGGCTTGTGTGCGCAGGGTGAGAGAGCAGGGTGTGTTACACAAACCTACAGCCCCCACAGAAACTGGAGATGGTACCTGACCTACACTAATGAGGAGAAATCCACTTACAATCTGTGAAAGTGATTTGTGTTCAGGAGAAGCTGTTCTTCAAACTCTGAGTTGTGAATTTTGATTTTTTCCTTCCTGGGCTAGCACTACACCGTGCCATCCTCTCTTGTGATGCTGCGCAGCGGCAGTGGCCAGTTGGCCAGTGGTCACAGAGGAGCTGACCAGTGCTCTGCAGTGCTATGTTGTCGGCTCAGAAGTCCAGGAGGCAGCTACACTAAATCCGTTTTCAGCTTGTGATATTTTCAGTTTACAATGGGTTTATGAGGATGCTGTGCCATCGATCATGGGGGGACATTCCTATATACAAATGTATAGCTATAGGAGAGTTTGGTGGCCATTGGACTCTGTGGCGTGTGAAGTGCACGGGACACTCTTAGCATATGTGACCATGGTCCAGCCAGCAGGTGCGGGGAACTCAGGGCTGCTTCTGGTGGACAGAGCCTGGGCAGTGTGCAGGGAGACAGGGAGCTGCCCGACCTGTAGGGCACCCCACACTGTGGGCACCCATGGCCCGCAGAGTAACTGAGATTGAGTTTGGGGCCATCTGTGTGTCTAGGTATCTGGGTGCCTGTGTGTGAGTTCTGCTGGACACAGGGTGGAGGTGGAGGGACTTAGAGGAGTGGGGGACACGAGGAGGTGTCCCCAACAGATTCTTGGAGTGTGTTTGGAGGGGCTTCAAGTACATAAGGAGGAGGTGGCCGCTCGGGGACTGTGTGTGTGAGAAAGTGAGTGTCATGGATGAGTGCAGGGACACAATTTGTGAACTCTTGGGGATTTGGTTGGATTATTGGAGGTGAGGGGCAGGGGAGTCGGGAGTCGACAGAGCAAAGCAGAGGTGTCTGTGTGGTGTTTCCGGTGGGCAGCGGGCATGGGTGTGGGAGATGTACCTGCATGTACCTGATTTCACAGGTTGCATTAGGTCATATTTCTGCAAGGAGAATGTGGATGCATATGAGTTTTTGAGTTGAGCTGTATTTTGTGGCATTGGACGTGGAACCCAGGGGCGCTCTACTACTGGCCACATACCCAGCCGTTTATAATTTTTTTTATTTTGAGACAGGGTCTCGCTAAGTTGCTCATGCTGGTCTCAAACTTGCGATGCTCCTACCTCTGCCTCCCGTGCCACTGGGATTACAAGTGTGCCGTTACACCCAGCTTGAGCTGTATTTTTAAGAGGAGAAAGTGTGTGTTGTGTTTCTAAGATAAGAATGTGTACTGTATTTCTAATGAGGGTGTGTATGTTAAGAGAGGGTATGTGTGTGTTGTGTTGTTTGAAACAAGGGAGTGTGTGAGTGTGGGTGTGTTGAGTTGTGTTTCTGAGGGGAGAATGTGTGTGTTGCACTGTGTCTTTAAGAACTCAGGAGGCATCTGGTGTGGTGGCCACACCTCTAGTCCTATCCACTAGGGAGGCTGAGGCAGGAGGATTACAAGTGGAGGCCAGCCTGGATAATTTAATGAGACCCTGTCTCAAAATAAAAATGGCTGGGGTTCAGTGGTAAATCACCCCTAGGTTCAACTCCCAGCACCAAAAGAAAACCTCGGGAGGACATGTGTGTAGTAGATGCTCCTGCGCCTCTGGTGGCCACACATTCTGATAAAGCCATCATAAATGGAGGCGGGTTTGAGAACTGTTGTCTACCCGGACCCCGGAGGCACCAAAAGCTAAGCACTGGACCTGGTCACTCACATAAAACCACACAAAATCCCCATGTGGGACCTCAACTCATTAGGAGGCTTTAGACCTCTACTGTCACACGGACAGTGACATCCATGGGCCACACCTGTGCCATGCGCATGTTCCAACAGGCGCTGGGCTGGCTGAGCCTGTCTGTGGTGGAAGGTGGAGCCCCTGTTCCCTCAGGGTCCATCAAGACCAGGAGCCACCATGCCGGCCCCCTCCTTCTCTCCCCAACTTAGAGGCTTCTCTGCTTCTGGTGCCCCAGCCCCTCGCCCTGGCCTCCGGCCCCACCCACCCTCAGTGGCCTGACTGGTTCCCAACAAAAACACCCTGAGAATGAGCTCACAGGGAGCTGCCGCCTCCACGTGCCCCGCCCCCCACGCCCAGCAGAGGAGGTGCCTCTGTTCCCAGGGCACACTGCTGGCTGGGAGCTCTGGGCAGGGTGCTAGGGACCTTGGAGAGGGAAGGGCCAGCCCCGCGAGCTGAGTGCAGGTGGGGGGATCAAGAGCCAGCTGAGTGCCCTCTTGGTTAATTACATACAGTAAAATTTTGGAATTGTCCTCAGGGCAGAGCCCTGGCTTCAGAAGACAGACAGAGGTAGACTAGAATGTTCCCAGTGAGGGCTGGCTGGGGCGGATGCAGAGCTGGTTTGGCTGGGATGGAGAGGGCTCGGAGGCAGAGACTGGCCGGGTGGGTGGGCAGAGGAGAGCGGGGATGCGGAGAGGTTGGGGTCCGACTGGCCATCCTAGTGTGGGAGCTGGGGACTGGCCTGCCTTGGCAGTGACACCCCACCTCCGCTGCCACCCCCAGGAGCAGCCATGTCGGTGCAGGTGGTGCCCCCTGGGAGCATGGGGCTGGGCTCAGAGCGCCTGAACCCTGAGGAGCTGGTGCGGCAGACTCGGCAGGTGGTGCAGGGGCTGGAGGCCCTGCGGGCAGAGCACCGCAGCCTGGCTGGGCACCTGGCGGAGGCCCTGGCAGCACATGGTCCTGCGCCTGGCTTGGAGCTGCTGGAGGAGAAGCAGCAGGTGGTGGGCCACTCCCTGGAGGCCATCGAGCTGGGGCTAGGCGAAGCCCAGGTATGAGGGGCCTGGTGGGGGCGCTCAGGCCTGGGGCTTAGACCAGGTGTGCAGGGAAGCAGGAGGGACGTGGGAGGCACGGGGACAGCAGCCGGGAGGGCAGGCTTCAGGCCACAAGTGGAGTCCCCAGGCAGCATCACGATGCCCTGAGCCAGACGGCACCCTCTGGTGGAGCTGAGGGTCTCGGGAGACTTTGGGTTACAGGGTGAAACATGAAGTGGTCCTGAGATCTGCCTCCTGGGTGAAGTCAGAGGGGTCCCCGAGCCTCAGCATCACTGCAGTCTGCGGAATCTGCAGGGCCCCTGTGGGATGCCGGGCCAGGGCTGTGAGAGGCCAGGGCAGCCCCCAGCTCGGCTCCTGACCGCCCCTCGCAGGTGCTGCTGGCCCTCTCGGCGCACGTGGGTGTGCTGGAGGCGGAGAAGCAGCGGCTGCGGGCTCAGGCCCGGAGGCTGGCGCAGGAGAACGTCTGGCTGCGCGAGGAGCTGGAGGAGACGCAGCGGCGGCTGCGGGCCAGCGAGGAGGCCGTGGCGCAGCTGGAGGAGGAGAAGCACCACCTTGAGTTCCTGGGGCAGCTGCGGCAGTATGACCCGCCCGAGGAGAGCCAGGTGCCGGGCAGGACGTGGCGGGGACACTGCCCTCCCAGAGCTCCTGAGGCTCCGCCCCGCCCCAGCACCCCAAGGCCCCAGCCTCTGTAGACCCCTCAGACTCCCTGCATTTGCCAGAAAGCCCCCCCAGCTGCTCACAAAGCCCCCCATCCTCCTCGACCCCCAGGAGAGCCCTAAGGCTTCTGATCAGCACTGCTCAAACCCCACGAGGGATTCAGGACCCAGGCTGTGTTTACCCCAGTTCTCATGGCTCTCGCTTTCCTGTCCTCCCTGTAGCGCCCCGAGTCCCCCCCTCGCCGAGACAGCCTGGCCTCCCTGTTCCCCAGTGAGGAGAGGAGAGGTGGGTGTGAGGGCCGCGTGTGACGTGGGAGCACAGCCAGGCAGGACCACAGGCCAGGCTGGGAGGGACCCCAAGTTCTCTGGTGAGGGAGGGGGAGGGGAGGGCAGAGTCAGGCGGAGGATGGGACAGGTGGCTGGCATTAGCGGGGATGACCGGCAGGTGAGGCCCGGAGCTGTGAACCAGGCAGCTCCCCACACACCTCACAGGCCAGGTGGGCACCGTTCCTGCCCCAGGCCAGGACACATCCCACCAGCTGGTTGGATGCCTGTGTTCCCCAGCTCAGAGGTCAGTGTGGGGACCAGCAGTTGCGAGGTGTCCGTGGCGCCTGAGGGGACTCAGTGCCTGCCTCCCCCAGGTCCTGAAGCAGCAGGGGCCGCGGCAGCCCAGCAGGGCGGATACGAGATCCCTGCCCGCCTTCGGACCCTGCACAACCTGGTGATCCAGTATGCGGGCCAGGGCCGCTACGAGGTCGCTGTGCCTCTGTGCCGCCAGGCCTTGGAGGACCTGGAGCGGAGCTCAGGCCACTGCCACCCTGATGTGGCCACCATGCTCAACATTCTGGCCCTGGTGTACCGGTGAGGGCCGCACTGGCAGGGCCTGTTGTTGGGTGAAGGACCTGGCATCCCCTCAACATGGAGCACCAGGGGTGGACAGGGACAGGGCAGAAGAGGACAGGAAAACAAAGAGGAAGGCAGAGATCTCGGGAGTGGCTGGGACCCAGAAGTCAGCAAGGGCCCCAACCCCAGGTGGGGAAGAGAGGGGTGGCCAGAGGCTTGGCAGAGACCTAGTGGTACGGGGACAGTCCCGGAGACTCAGGAGGTTTGGGGAGGCCTGAAGGGACACCTGGAGGGTGCCACCCACGCCTGGCTCAGCCAGGTCCCAGGACCTGTCTGGACCAGCCCAGCCGTAGTAGCCCAAGCTTGGCTGTCCCCGCCACCCCTGTGACTGCCTCACAGGGACCAGAACAAGTACAAGGAGGCGACAGACCTTCTCCATGACGCCCTGCAGATCCGGGAGCAGACACTGGGTCCTGAACACCCTGCAGTGAGTGGGCCCCCACCCGCAGGGACGGGAGGGAGGCCGCAGTGCCCGCCCCCTCCAACCTGCACCCCCCCTGCAGGTGGCCGCCACCCTCAACAACCTGGCTGTCCTCTACGGGAAACGTGGGCGTTACCGGGAGGCAGAGCCCCTGTGCCAGCGTGCCCTGGAGATCCGTGAGAAGGTCCCCTACCCAATCCCAGGCGACCCCTTGTCCTCTGAGGCTGTGACTTGGTGCTCTTCCCTTTGATCATCTGTCTCTTGGGCCCCTGTGTGGGCCTAGATCGCCCACCGCATGGCCTGCCCCCAACCTTCTAGTTTCATCTGGACTCTGCTGCCTGTGACCTCACACGCCCCCTCTCAGCCCTGCCCTCTGACCCCCTGGTTGGCGGTCTACCCCTGTATGCCACCAGTGTCTGGAGCACCGCAGCCTCTGCCCCTCCTCCTCTTTCTGTAAGCCCCACCTCCTGTCTCCCGGCATGGCAGTGCCATCATGGGGCCCACCAACCCCGTGATTCCAGTGGCTCGTGACCCCCAGGTCCTGGGCGCCGACCACCCAGACGTGGCCAAGCAGCTCAACAACCTGGCCCTGCTCTGCCAGAACCAGGGCAAGTTCGAGGACGTGGAGCGGCATTACGCCCGCGCCCTGGGCATCTACGAGGCCCTGGGTGGCCCCCACGACCCCAATGTGGCCAAGACCAAGAACAACCTGGTGAGGCGCTGCAGGGGGCAGGGGGCTATGGGGCTGCAGGCAGGTACGACAGGAGCTCCAGGGGATGAGGTGAGGGCCCTGAGGGAAAGGTCGCCTCAGCATCAGGAAGTGCACCAGTTTATGGCCAGAGAATGGTTCTAGCAAAGAGGCCACTGGCAGGACCAGATGCCAATGTCACATCTTTATTGCACCCACCGTGGGCAACCCCTTCTTAGCTCGTTACAACAGGGCTACCGTCACCCCCTACACGGCCAAGGCAGGGCGGGGCCCCGTCTGTTGCAGCAGCAGATGCCCTCTGGGCAGGCCCCAGGAGGCAGTGTGGCCAGGCTTGCACTTAAGATGGGCTGGGGGTCCTAAGAAGTCCCCAGATTACAGCCAAGGTCCCCCTGCCCTGCCCTCCCTGCAGGCCTCCGCCTACCTGAAGCAGAACAAATACGAGCAGGCAGAGGAGCTGTACAGGGAGATCCTCCACAGGGAGGGCCTGCCACCAACTTTGGGTGAGCCTGTCTGCCCTCCTCCCTCCCAAGGGCTCCTCGGTGCCCCTCTCAACATCCCCTCTGTCCCCCAGGAGCTCCTAACACAGGCACAGCTGGTGAAGCAGAACAACAGGTGAGGAGGCCCTGCTTTGGTTCCTGAGGGGGGATGGGGACTGGATGGGCCAGGTGGGGGTCAGTCACTGTCCCTGGCTCCTCTTCAGGCTCTTCGAAGGAGCAGCTCATTCTCTAAGCTCCGTGAGTCTCTCCGGCGGGGAAGTGAGAAGCTGGTGTCCCGCCTCCGAGGGGAGGGCTTGGCAGGGGCAGCAGGGTGAGTGCCGGCTCGGGGTGGCCAAGCCCTGATGGTGGTGGCACCTGCAGCACCCTCCCCCAGTCCTGCTCAAGAGCTTTCCATGGCTCCCATCTGCCCTGTGACACAGATCTAACCTAGTCCTGGAGAGGACCTTCCTAGAGGGGCCTGGACATTCACCTGTCCTTCTCTGACCCATTCTCTGCAGGATGAAGAGAGCCATGTCCCTAAATGTGCTGAATACAGAGAATGTCAGAGCTCCGGGGGCTCAGGTGAGAAGGACACCTGTCAAGGATGGAGCAGAGCCACCGTGGCAGGCTCAGAGAGGCAGGGGCTGACAGGTGGGGGTGGAGCAGAGCCCAGGACAGAAGGGAGGGTGTACCTGGGGTAGAGGCAAGGGGACGGGCGCAGTGACAACTGGAGCAGAGATCTGCTTGCCCGTCACCACCGCTCCCTGTGTCTGTCCCCAGCTCCGCAGTCGGCCCTTGAGTGAGCTCCCTCGGACCCTCAGCGCCAGTATCCAGGACATGAGCCCCCGCTAACACGGATGGGACCATGCAGCTTCTCCAGAATGGGGGGTGCCTGGGAGGCGGGGGGCCAGTGGGTCGGACATCAGTGCTGCCTTCTCCCCCGTAATTAAAGGCTATAGATTTGGAATGTCCACCTGAGGGGTCCTCTGTGCTGCTGGGACAGGGCCAGGCAAGACGAGGGCGTCACCTCACACTGCTCTGATGAGCCTGCCCCGCTCACATCTGCTGGGCGATCTGCTCGATCCTCCGCAGCGTCTCCTCCGACTCCAGCTGCTCCAGGCTGAGCAGGGACAGCCCCAGCTGATCCTCCTGCAGGGATCAGAGGGAAGTTGGCCAGGGCCTGAGGAAGCTGCTGCAGCGCCACTGCAGGGGACCAGGACTCCAGAGGCAGTGGGGACAGGAGGGCTAAGGGACAGAATTTTGAACTGGGAGCTGTCCACGAAATCCAGAAGACAGGGCACTGGGCCTCATCTGCCCTCCCCAGGCAGCTGCACAGGGAAGCAGTCACACAGCTCCCCCAGGGCCTGGCATGTGGCGCAACGAGGCGGCAGGCTGGGGGAGCACAGCTGGGAGGGAGCAGGGCCCAGGGCTCACCCGGTGGAAAGGCTGCGCCATCTGCCTCAGGAAGTACTTGGCGACCTGGACGCCCTCGTCGACGGTCAGGTTGAGGTTGGCTTCGGTGAGGTGCTCCTGGATCCAGCGCGGCAGCTTCCCCCGCTTGTCCGCCCTGGCGAACCGCTTTGCGTGGGAGGGTGGGGACAGGGTGTCAGGCCCAGGCTGCAGAAGCCTGGCCACCGCTGCCCCTGCCACCATACCCTGCCCATCTGATGGCGAATGGGGAAACAGCGGGGCTCAGAAGCCAGGGTGGGGTGCAGAGGCCCCTGAGCCCGTACTTTGTCGGCGAAGACCATGAGGCCGTAGTCCGTCTTGCCCCGGATGGCCCGGCCTACACACTGGGCCGCGTGGCGCATGGCATCAAAGGTGAGGAAGTCGTTCTCGCGGATCTGGAACTGGTCCCGCAGGTATTCCAGCCGTGCCTGGGGCCAGGGGGTGAGGAGGAGAGGGATGGGGAGCCATCCCTTCCCAAGTGCCTGTGCCCTCCTCCAGCCACCCCACAAACCACCTGTGTCCCCCCTCACGTGGCTCACCTTCAGAATGCGGCTCTGGGTGTAGACATAGGGGACACCAAACATGATGACTGCCCGCCCGAAGTGGTGCACTGTGGGCAGGGGTGAGAGGTCACGAGTGAGCTGCAGGGGGCTAGGGGCTAAGGCCCTCGCCAGGCCCAGGCTGTGGGTGGCTGGTCCCGCTAGGGAGCAGACAGGTGTAGAGGACGTGCTCTAGCGCTAGGCAGGGGAAAGCAGGCCCACTCACCGAAGTCGATTCCCTCAGACACTTTGCCCCGGGCCACTGAGAGCAGGATGGCCCCTCGGCCATTCTCGCAGGCCTGGGGGGTGGGGCAAGCTGAGTCACCCTCAGAGCCACTACCTGAGCCCACCCAGCACTGCCTCAGCCTCCCCATCCCAAACCCACCTCCTGATACTTCTCCAGGGCAACACTGGTCTCTGCCCCATCCTGGGTCTCAATGAAGAGCAGCTTGTTCCTCTGGATGTTCTCAAGGATGCCCTGAGGGGGGACAGCAGGAGGTCAGGGCTGGGGCTGGCCGTGGTTCAGGGCATGGCCATGGCTGTACCTGGTGAAACCCAGCCCTGCCTCAGACTCCTGTGTAAAGGACCATGTCTCTGGGCCTCAACCTGCCTGTCTGGGACACATGAAGGAAGGGTCAGAACTGTCCAACTTCACCGTGGTGAGCCCAGTGGGGTAGGCACATGGCCCATGGTGGCCAATCAGGACACAGGTACCCAGCCAAGGGGGTGCAGGGGCTGACTAATCCACCCGGGGCCAGTGGAGGCTTCCCCAAGTGCACACACCACACTGTAGTGGACACAGGGACAGACACAGCCAGAGACGGAGACCAGCCCCATGGTCACCTGTGCAGTTCAGTGGGGACAGCTCTTTTCAACGAATCATATGGAAGCAAATGGGTTTCAAATGGGAAATGAACCTGACCTTCACCCCACACAGCCAATGCAGGCTGCCTCAGACACAGGTGTGGAAGCTAAAGCTGCAGAGCATCCAGGAGGAAATGGGAGCCCATTTTCATGGCCTTGGGTAGGCAAGGTTTCTTAATAGCACACAAGTGGCTCTAGCCATCTTTCCTACTGTGTGGAAAGAGTCTGGCCGTGGCTCTGAGGGACAAGGCTCCTGCCCCAGCCCCAGCGCTCCCTGAAGCCTGGACTAGTGACTCCACTCATCTCACCTCAAAGAAGTGTTCTGGGCCCTGAGAGCTGGCCAGGGGCGCTCAGAGACGGGCAGGATGTGCCCCTCCCACCACCTCCTGCCATGGCCCAGTGTGGCCATGCTGAGTCCTGCCCACCGTGCCCAAGCCCGTCCTCACACTTCCCAGAGGGTCTGCAGGTTCTCCAGAGGCTTTGCCTGGAGTCCTGGTCCAGTCTTAATTCCAGAACCTTCACCCAGCAAGAGCCACACTTGCTTCCCATGTCCACAGCGAGCACTATGTGCTGGAGGGACAGTCACAGGGGTAAGCCAGGGCACCAGGAGCCCAGAGGCTGCCACGGGTTGAGCTCCAAATCTGGTGGGGACGGAGCAGGGCACAGAGGCGTGTGGGGTTTATTTTATGCACATTCCCGTGTTTTAGGCCATTTGTCACCTGACACATCGGCACTGAAAACAGGAAGGACACCCAGGCAGCACCAAGAGTGAGGAGAGGGGCTTCCCAGACGGGGTGCACAGTGGCTGGGCGTACCTGCTCGTACCAGGAGGCCACAGTGCTCTCCATGTACTGGTAGCTGGTGAAGAAGGCCACGATGCCATCAGGGACCACAGCAGACATCTCCAGCAGGAGGTTTCCATAGTTCCGGATCACGGCTGTAGGGTCAGAGGTTGGGCCCCCTCCTGGCGCAGAGCCCCCTCCCGCTCCCGATCCTGAACTTGGGGTTCTCAGCAGCCCCGAGGCTGTCTGAGGGCTGCTCACACACCCACCCCCTTCTCCAGATCCAGCCTCCTGAAGCAGGCGTGGCCTTGTGACTTGTCACAGCCAATGAGGGCAAAAGTGGCTGCGTCACTTCCGGGTGAGCAGCTTTAGGAGCCCGTGCACAGTCCACTACGATCCCACCAGAACCCACAGAAACCGGCCCCACAGGCAGCATACCAATATCTTCCCGGGTCTCAAATTTGGAGCTGATGGCCACCTGGTCATTACCCCTGCCGATAATCTGGAGAAAGCAAGAGGTCACAATAAAGGAAGCAGCAGCCACTGTCACAATGTATGAGTGCTTACCCCGTTACTGTCATTCAAAGCTTTTAATAGATCCAGTGTCACTAGGTGAACCATTAGCTACCTGTATTGACGCTGCAATGCTACCTGTTACAGATGACCTGAGCTCAGGGAAGGTGAGTCACCTGCCCATGGTCACACAGCAGAAAAAGAACCGACCTGAGCCTGTCCATGCCTCCAGCCAGCAACTAAGTCCAGCCCACCGCAGCTGCTGGGCTAGATGGTTCCAAAACACTGCTCGCCACCAGTGCCCCTGCTGGCCGTCCTCACAATGCTACCATGCAGCTGGTGGTCACTACAGGGCCCCAGTCCCTGAAGGGCAATTCCAAAAGCCAAAAAACTATTCGGCAAAAACTGCACTGACCAGAGTCCACTCAGAGGCCAACTCACCCCCTTCATGTGACTCTTCAAAAGCTTTTACAGGGCGGGGCTGCAGCTCAGTGTCAGAGCGCTTGCCTAGAGTGCCCGAGGCCCTGGGTTCCATCCCAGCACCAAAAAAGGAAAAAAACCTTCTAAAGCCTGGAAAATTCCAAATTCCAAAATATATGCGGACTCTGGGCTTCAGAGCCTGTGACCTGAGGCCACTTACCACAGAGATTGACCCAGAGAGAAGGCTTACCTACCCAGGTCACAGCTGGGCAAGAACTGGGCAAAGCCACGTAAGCGAGATGCGGGCTACATTCGTGTTTTACACTCTCTGAATCCTGTCAGTGGCCCTGGGAGATCAGGGAGGAGGCATTTCCACTTCACAGATCAGAGCCAGGCACAGTGGCACAGGCCTGTAATCCCAGTGGCTTGGGAGGCTGAGGCAGGAGGATCAAAAGTTCAAAGCCAGCCTCCAACTTTAGCAAGGCCCTAAGCAAGTCAGTGAGATCCTGTCTCTAAGTGGAAAATAAAAAGGGCAAGGGGGGGTTCAGTGGTTAAGTGCCTGGGTTTAATCCCTGGTACCAAAAAAACAAGAAGCGCAGAGGAGAAAACAGGCTTTGCGAGTCAGACACACAGGAGCAGGCGGAGCCCACCTGGGCACCCCATCGGACAGCTCTCCTGCCGGAGGAGGGGCAGACAGCCCCTAACCCCATCCTCTACACTCACCATGGGGCACAGACAGACCCGGGCCAGTGTCATTGTGAAGGTTGCCATGGTGACAGGATGGAAGTCCAGGATCTTGGGGTAGATGTCCAGTGGGGACAGTGTCTGTAGGAGGGATAGAAGAGGGATGTCATCAGACCAAGGAAGGACCGAGAACCCCATGGTGGAGGACTGGAGGGGCCAGGGAAGGGTCCTCACCCCGGAGGTGATGATGACAGATTGGAAGCGCTCGAACACAGGTTTGATGGCCAGGGAGGCGTCCATGCAGCTGTGGAGAGCAGACCCGGACAGTGAGGGCCAGGCGGGGAGGGCGGGGCCTGCCCTCTGTCTGTCATGCCGGCTCAGGCCCAGGGTCCCACCTGAAGTGCAGGATGGGGTTGGCGATGGTGGGGGTCCTGTCATCAAAAGGCTCAATGATGATGGTAAAGCCTGGAGGAACAGGCAAAGGCCGGTGAGACCCTCACAGAGGTCACCCGTCCCGTTCCCACAGGAACTTGCTGGCGACCAGTCCCTGCCCCAGGGGCAAATGGGACCGAACACCAGTGGTCCAAGCCCCAAACGCAGGCACCTGAGCGCGAACACCCCAGCCTGCCTGCTCTTTGGGGCGACCTCCGAGCAGTTCCCGAGAGCACTGAGCTACGTCCTCGAGCTGTCCTGGGAGGCCCACTCAGCACCCACGCACAAGCCGCTGCCACAGCCCTGCCATCCGGGCCGTTGGCAAGCCCACCGCTCTGCCTCCCAAATGCCCCTGTGACTGACCACCTCCACAATCCTGGCCAGCCGCCATCTCCTCCCTCCCAGGCCACCATGCTCCCTGCTCACCCCCAGGATCCAGAATTGCCGTGGGACCCAGCATGCCGCCCTCCCCTCCTCCCTCACCAGCTCACCCTTCCCACTGCCTCCCACAGGCAGCCCGTGCGGCCACTGGAGCCCTTATTCAAAAGTCGGCTCCTAGGACAGGGTGGCGCGCTTGGTGGAGCGCTAACGTGTGCGAGGCCCTGGGTTCCGGCCCCGAACTGCAGAAAGCAGCTCCTCCAGAGGCTGCCCCCACCGGCCACAGGGACACAGCAACACCGCCCGTCTTTCATAACCAGGCCTCCTGGACTAGGCCGTCTTTGTTTTTGCTACTGGTTTCCCCTCCAGAATATCGCTCCCAGCAGGGCAGGGGTGAGGCCTTTTTTGGTTCCTGCTTTCACAGTGCGTCGCCAGGCTTTTGTTAAGCAAATAAATGAATGAAAGATTTGCATGTTGTTTCACTTATTTAAAAAAGAAATCAAGGGCTAGGGATGTGGCTCAAGCGGTAGCGCGCTCGCCTGGCATGCGTGCGGCCTGGGTTCGATCCTCAGCACCACATACAAACAAAGATGTTGTGTCCGCCGAAAACTGAAAAATAAATATTAAAAATTAAAAAAAAAAAAAAAGAAAGAAATCAAGTCCTCTGTGCCTGGCCCTGTGCTGAGGACACAGTAGTGACCAGAGACAGCCTTAGCCCTGCCCACAAGGGCTCCTGGTCCAGGGGGGAGAGAGAACTCCCAGAGAGCAATGATTCAGAGTGGAGAGGGCTGGGCCAGGGCAGATCAGACAGGTGGCATGGTCCAGCCTTGGGCTGAGGGAGGGACGGAGGGGGCACAGCTGCTGGGTGGAGACTGAAGATGGGAGAAGCATGTTCCAGGTCAGTGATGTGAGCCTCGGTAGATGGGGAAACGGCGGGAGGAGGGACTGGGGGAAGCGTCCAGTGCTCATGGCAACAGCCCTGGTGGGAGGGCAGAGACTCTGCTCCTGCTGAGGCCCAGCGCAGGGCAGGGCAGCAGGTCTGACCTAGTTTCCTATAATCCCCAGGGATCAGGCTGAGCCCTTGGTCAGCTAAGGAGCGGAGGGAACCTGGCTGGCTGAAGCCTTCAGAACATCCCCCTCTCCCACAGGCCAGAGGCCTGAGTGTCCTCACACCACTAACGCACTCCCCATCTGGGCCTCTCCTTCCCATTTCTCTCTAAACCTACCTTTCTCTGCCTCACCGTCCTGCCTCCTCCTCTCTTGCTCGGTACCTGCTGTCTACCCCAACGACTGCCTCCAGTCCCTGCCAGAATTTTTTTAAAGCACTAATCTGACCTGGCACCTCTCTTGCTCAGAACCTGCCATGGCTCGCCACTGCCCTCTGTTACAGTGACCAGCTCTTGCCATGCCCTCAGGGCTCACCTCGTTCTGCTGCCCGCCCCATCCTTCCCCACTCTGTAGCCAGAGGGAGGCTCTGCGAATACAAATCGGAGCTCGAGGCCTGCTCAGCTCCCAGGGACTGTCAAAATAGAGCCCAGCCTCCCAAGCCCAAGCCTTCAAGGCTTGTGTCCAAACCCCTGCCAACAACAGTGGAGGCTTGTCTAGGACCCCGATGCCAGCTGCCAGGGACTCAGCAGATGCAAGAAGAGGGGAGCTTACCCTTGGCGTAGGTGCTGACCAGGGTGGCGAAGTTAGCAAGTAGAGTGAGCGGGGAGAAGTCGGCCAGGTCGGCGATCTCCAAGGTGTGCAGGAGGGACCGCAGGCGCTCAGCACAGAACCTGTGGAGGGCAGGGCCAGGGGCAGAGGGAAGGACAGGCTCAGAGGCCCCTTTTCTGCTGTCAGAGCTTGTGGCCGCATGTGTCTCTCCTGGCAACCGGGTGTTTCATGAGGCCAGGAACTAGATCTGTTCCAGAAACTTCTGTCCTCACCTCGAACACTGGCACATTATGCTGAGCCTCCACTTCGTGATGGCAAACAGAACATGGCCACTTGTCACACATGCTCATGGCCTCACTGGCAGGGTCTACTCAAAACAAGACCCACAGCCACACCCAGTCACATCATTAATCCCGCATGACCACAGGTCTCGAGCACACACGCACACACATCAGTTTCTCCTATCTCTCAGGAACCTTGGTGACACTGTCACAGTCCCCCATACTCAGAGTAACACAACCACACGTGTACAGCCTCACATAGACTGTGTCAACCACACAGACACACAAGGCCACCTAGCCAGTCACACACAGGTAGGCCTGCAGTGCTTGCCCCGGAGGGACAGGTCCGGAGCAGGAGCACCTGACTGGAGCCTGGTGGCAGTCAGACTTTAAACATGCTGCAAGCCTGCCTTTGACCCCAGGCTGGCTCAGGTCCCTTAGGCTCTGTCATCTGCACCTGAGGGGATCACCATGTCGGGGATATGTCTGTCTCTTCCACTGGGTCACAGCCCCATGAGGGTGGTGGAGGCCACCTCACTCACTTCCGCACCCGGGAACACTGAGGCACTTGGGGAACATGTGTTGAGTGGCGGAGCCCCTCTTCCACCCTCACAAGTCCCCTACCTGGGGGAGAGGCACAAAGCCACACCAAGAGCTGCCCCACTCCCTTGGGGACAGAGTAGCCAAGCCTCTGAAGTTCTATAGAGCTGGTTTCAAAGTTACAACTTAGCACATGCAGTGCTCAGCCTGGGTAATGGCATCCTCTCCCTGAGGCCCATGTCCTCATCTGCAGCGTGGAGACATCACACAGGGGATGTAGCTGAGGTAGGGAACACGGAAAACTTGGGCTTTGCTGCCCTCTCCTTTAAGCAGCACAGAATCTGTGAAGTAAAGACCACACCCACCTTGACACCCACCCACGTTACAAAGACACCGAGCTTCAGAGAAACCAACGATTTGCAAATCCAGATCAGCAAGGGAAAAGTTCCGCGCCCCCTCTGCCAATTCTTGAGTCCATTATCTGCTAGCTCCATGCCCCAGGGGTCTGAACCCCACTAAATGATCCCCGAATGCACCTCTGGGAGGCCCCAGCCCCGGCTTGGGGGTGAAGGAAGTGTGGCACGGTGACTCCCTGTAAAGGAGACATGCATCTGGGGGCCCAGGGCGGTTTCCCAGAGCTCCAGTCCTGCTGGGCCTCCGGATTCTGGTCTCAGCCTCCATCACAGCCTCTCTCCGGGTTTGTCCCACTGGCTCCAGGCCGGGCTGCAGCTCACGGAAGAGCACCCGCCTACATGCTGGAGGCCCTGGTCCCTCCCAGCACCAAGAGCATCCAAAGGAAAAAAGCATCAATACTGCTCCCTCCCACCCCCTCCACAAACAGCGCCTCTGGGAAACTGTCTTCAGGCAAATTCCCAGGTCCAGCTGCACTGCCTGCCAGGCCCGCCCAACACAGCCACCCAGAGCCACTCCATCCTTGCCCAGCTGGACTAGCCAGCGTCGTTCCTGACACTGGCAATGTGGTGACCCACGGAGCAGGTGTGGACAAGGCCTGGCGGCACGTGGCTGGGATCCGCCCCAGCGCCTGCAGGCACCAGCTCCCCACGCGGGCCTCACCTGAGGGGCTTGCGCTGGATGCACACGCGCTGCGCCAGGCTGCTCAGGAAGGCAGGCGGGCTCTCCTGGACCACGTGCTGCACGCGCAGCCGCCACTTGACGAACTCCAGCAGCCGCCGCAGGAAGCCGAGGAAGTGCTCAGCCGTGCGGATGGAGCCGGGCACCGCCTCTGCGAGACAGGAGGGGAGAGGAGGGTCAGCGGGCACGAGGCGGGTGGGCAGGCGGGGCGGCGGGGCAGAGCACGGCTCACCCTTCAACACCTCATCGGGCAGCACAGGGTTGGCCAGGTGGGCGTCGGTCTCCCGGGCAGCACTGGCCTCCCGCAGCCCCTCCACCAGGCGGCGGTACTCATCGCGCAGGCGCTGTTCGTCCGTCTCCTTGATCCTGCAGGGAAACGGGTAGGGGTCTAAAACTGCACCCCGTCCCTCCGGGCTGGTGGTAGGTGGCCCGGCAGGCACCAGGCCTCCCAGCTGCTCCCTCCTGGCACCTGAGCACCGTCTTCTGCAGGGTCTCCAGGTTGCCCTGGCACCTGTCCAGGGTCCGGCGGGTGAGGTTGACACTCATGGAGTCAATACAGACGTTGTCTAGAGAAGAAGGGGCGAGGGCTGGGCTGCGGCCAGCAGGGTGGAGGTCTGGCCGGCTGCCACCACCTTTGTACCCCGTCTCCCTCCTTACCAATGTTGTGGGCCTCATCAAAGACCACCACGGCCTTGCGGGCCAGCTCCTTGGACACCAGGTCTGCTATCTTGGGGTCCAGGAGATAGTGGTAGCTGTAAACCACCACGTTGGCGTGCAGGATCTGGGGGAGGAGGACAGGGTGCTCTAGCCTTCGTGACGCCCTCCACTGACACATTCCTGCCTCACAGGCAGAGGCCGAGGACACAAGGAGACAGAGACAGGTGCGCAGGCCCCAAAGACATAGGCTCCCACAGGCAAGGCTCAGAGGCACAGGGAGAGATGCCAACAGACAGACACGCACACAAGCAGACAGACAAGGGATAGGCAGCCCACAACCCTCACACCCACACTCTGCCCACCCCCACAGCCTCACTGAGTAGCGGGCGAGGAAGTAAGGGCACCAGCCCTGGCGCCGCCCCAAGGCCTTCAGGTCATCCAGGTTGTAGATGCCGGCAGGGAGGGGTGCTTGGCGCCCATGGGCGTCGAATTCCTGGGGTGAGGAGAGGGTGGCAGGGGTCAGCAAGGCCGGCTGCCCTGAGCATCCTGGCCCTCCCAGCCCCACTCAGCGGCCCCCAGGCACCTCATAGAAGCGGCAGTGGGGCAAGCTGGCGTCCTGTTGGTATTGCGCCCGCACGTAGGAGGCCGTGAGGCTGTGGCATTTCCCATCAACATCTTTCCCAAAGCGCAGCGGTGTCACCTAGGGGCATAGGGGATGTCTCAGTCCTGAAACAGGCTCGCCTGGACTTTTGGACAATTTGAACCTCAACCTGCTTTATTATTGGTTAACATACCTAACTTACTGCAGGGTACAGACTGCAAGCACCGTCACACTCCCGACTACCCCCGTGACTGCGCCTGTCTGAAATGCTTGGGGCCAGAAGTGTTTTGGACTGCAGATGCTGTTTGGACTTTTGGAATGTTTGCATATACATAATGAAATATCTGGGGATGGAACTCAAAGTTTAAATGTGCAATTCAGTTGTGGTTCATTTAACATACACAGGCTGTTTTATACAGTCCTTTCAGTATGTCTGCACTTTGAGTTTCACCAATCATACAAAGTCAGGTGGAGAATGTTTCACCTGTGATGTCATACTGGCACTCAAAATTGTTGGTTTTTTTTTTTTTTGGATACCGTGGATTGAACTCAGGGGTACTCAACCACTGAGCCACATCCCCAGCCCTATTCTGTATTTTATTTAGAGACAGGGTCTCACTGAGTTGCTTAGTGCCTCGCTTTTGCTGAGGCTGGCTTTGAACTCATAATCCTCCTGCCTCAGCCTCCCCAGATGCTGGGATTATAGGCGTGCCCCACTGTGCCTTCATCATGATATATATTCTTTTATATAGAATATAGATATATATTCTTTCAGGTCTTTGTACACGTTACAGGTTTCAACTGCACCATCTCAGTTAAGGGCTGGGGGATATAATTCAGTTGGTAAAGTGCTTGCCTGGCATGCACAAGCCCTGGGAAGGAAGGGAGGGAGGGAGGGAGGGAGGAAGGAAGGAAAAAAACATATATACAGCTAGTAAGTTTCAGAGTCAGGAAGTCAGGTCTCTAGACTCCAGGAGCTGGAGGAGTCCACTCACCTGGGCCATGAATGAGGAATCAGAATTTGCAAGAAAGAAATTCTGTTCATGGCAACCTTCCTGAGAAATTCTCATACTTCCTGACAGCTCTTATCTTGGGACCTAGGACTCATGGTTGGAGGGAAGAGGTCCCTCGACCCTGGGACTTAGGACAAGAGGAGGGAGTGGATAATCACCTCAGGATGAATGCACAGGTTCTTGCGGGAGCTCAGAGCCAGCCCCAAAAATGGCAGCTTCTCATCTTCCTGCTTTTCGTAAAAATTGAGCAACTTGCGAAGCTCCTCAATCACCTGCTCAGATGGAGGAAGGGAGGGGCTCGGCTTCACTGGAAGCTCCAGCCCCTGCCCTGCCAGGCCCCAGCCTCTCTCCAGCATCCCAACCCCGTAAGGCTAGGGAGTGCAGCCATCAGGACACCAAAGACATGGGGTCCACCCCAGCCTACCTTCTCAATCTCTGGCACTGTCCTCGAGCAGTAGATGAGTTTCGTCACCTCCAGTGGATATGCCTGCCAAGGACGAGTGTGCTCAGTCCCGGCCCAGCACCCTCCCTCCTCCCAGGCTCAGGGGCTCACTTACCCGCTGGTAGGCCATAATCAGCGCCAGCAGGGACACTGTCTTGCCAGTGCCTGAGGGCATCTCCAGGACTCCATGACCCTGTGTGTGTGGGGGCAGAAAGACAGACACAGGCTCTCAGAACCTGAAATACAAACTCTGGGGACCCTCCCTCAAATGCCACCAACTGAGAATGGCAGGACAATACAGCAATTAAGGTCTGCACTCCAGGGGCAGTGAGTTTGCACCTCATTTCTGTCACCTCCTTGTTGAGTGGTCTTCGATAAGCATCTTTTTTTTTTTTTTAACATTTATTTTTTAGTTTTCAGCGGACACAACATCTTTGTTTGTATGTGGTGCTGAGGATCGAACCCGGGCCGCACGCATGCCAGGCGAGAGCGCTACCGCTTGAGCCACCTCCCCAGCCCCCCCCCCCAATAAGCATCTTTAACTCTCTGGGCCACAGTATTCTCACCTCTAAAACAGACCTATTAATGTGCCCTTCTCAACATGACAATGAGGATCAGTGAGAAATTTGTGGGTTAAATATTTGGAACAGCATCTAAAGTACAGTGAACCCTTTTTCTTCTAGCTTACAAACCTTCCACAGACTTACTCTGTGCTTAGTGCTGTTTCCACATATCTTTGCTATTTGGAGCCAAAAAAATATTTGGTTATGGGGAAGCTGTTGTGTGTGCAGCAGGATGTCCAGCAGTGGCTATGGCCTCCACCTATACCCGATGCCAGTAGCTCCTTTTCTCCTGGGATGACAACCAGGAATACACCCAGACATTGCCAAATGTCCTCTGGGGGTCAAAATCATTCCCATTTGGGAATTCCTGCCTTTTGTGTATTAAGTTGCATAACCCTCACAACACCCGAAGAAATAAGTACTGTGTGCGCACACATGCCCTGCACGGGAGGCTGACGTTCTCAGGACCCAGGACCTCACCCATGCTAGGAAAGTGCTCTCTTCATTTTACAGAGGTGGAAACCATGGCAAGAGGTTAAATGATTCGCCCAAGGGTGCATGGCTGAGAGCCTGTGGGTCCAGCATTCAAAACTGTTAGTACCCACTCTGAAGTCTATATATTGGTAAGCACTGGAAAACTCATCCTTCAATCAATGTTAGCTGCTCCATTATTAACCGTTATTGTTTTAGCTTCTTGATTTTCTTTTTCCCTGGTATTGGGTGTTTGGACCCAGGTCTTATGCATTCTAGACAAGAGTCCTGTCACTGATCAAACCATTATTGTTTTAGATAACAGGAGATTTTAGAGTCCTGGATTCTTGAGGTCCTCGGATTGACTTTTTTTTCTAGTATCGGGGACTTAACTCGGGGGCGCTCTTCCACCAAGTTACATCCCCAGCTCTTTTACAATTTTTTATCTTGAGACAGGGTCTCGCTAAATTGCCCTGGCTGGCCTCGATCTTTTGATCCTCCTGCCTCAGCCTCCCGAGTCGCTGGGATTACAGGCGTGACCCACCACGCCCAGAGGGTCCTGGATTTTTAAAACCCAACGACCTGCAACCTCGGCATTAGATCCCCGCAAGGCAGCCCTACCCGTCAAGTGGGCAGCGCGGGCCGGACCCACCCACCTTGGCGTCCAGCGTGCGTTTGAGCTCCAGCATGTAGGAGAACTGCTCCGGGTAGATGTAGTCGTAGGGGAAGTAGACCAGCAGCCCGTCCACGTTGAGCCTGGCGGCGGGGGCTAAGGGGTCAGTCCCGTCCCCTCAGCCCCTCTCCAGCCTCCACACTCCCCCGCCGTGTGGTCCGACATCCCCAAGTTTCCCAGGAGACCCTCGTCCCCCTCGGCGTCTCCTCGCTACAGTCTCCTTACTGCCCCGCCGGTCCCCGCAGCGACTCCCACCCCACTCCTCCAGTCTTCCCTCGCCCCGCCGGGTCCTGAGGCGCGCCCACCGGACCCCCATCTTCCTTCCATCAATTGTTCCTCCCGTGTATCCCCCCGCTCTCGATCCCGAACCGCTAGCCCCCACTACGCTCTCACTTCATGGCGGCGGACGCGGCGTGCCTAGGCGCAGACCCGCCTTCCTTATGAATATTCAGAAAGGGGCGGGGACGTGGGTGTCCTGGAGGAGCCGCTCCACCTTTGTCACTCCACCATTGGCTGAATCTGCCCATCACTCCACCGGGAGGAGCCAATCGGAATAATGCGCATGCGCACGGAGAGGCAAAGGCGGATTTCTGGGCGAGGCATTACTGTCACAGGCATTACTGTGGATCCTCGAGGACTATCAACAAAACAAGGAAAGAAGAGAGCCGAGAGAATCGATTCAGTTTATTACTTGGATCTTCAGGTAGGCACAGGTCTGTAGTCCCAGCAACACAGGAGACTGAAGTGGGAGGATCATAACTTCGAGGCCAGCCTGGGCAATTTTATTTATTTATATTTTGAGGCTGTCTAGTTAAATACATAAAATTGGCTAGGGACTTAACTTACTGGTAGGGTGGGTGCCCCTGGGTTCAATCCCCAGTAACGGAGTGGAGTGGGATGGATTAAATCTTCCTAGGTCTGTCCAGATTGAATAGTGAATGGGTTCTAGGGGAGAATGACAGGGAAATTAGGGACACTTTCGAAGCCAAAAGTTCGCAACTTATAAAATACTTGCTGTGTCCTAGACTTAGGATAAGTAATTTATAAATAGTTCCTCCCATGTATCCAGCGCCTACAGTTTGCCACTCTGTGCTGTTTTAATCAGGAAGTAATGGAGAGGCAGTACGGTTTGGTGGCTAAGGTGTGGGCTCTGAATCAGAACATCTGGGTTCAAATCCTGATTCCACTTTCCATTAACTGTGACCTTGATCAAACTACTCTGGGATTCCACCTCAGGAGAAGCAAAGAAGGAACAATTAAACAATAAGATACTTAAATGAACCCATATGAAGCAGTTAAAGCTCCAATTAATACAAACTAAGTATTTGATAAATGCTAGTTTCTATGTGCTCAATAAGTAGTTATGGGGCATCTGTTGTGTTCCTGGAACATATGTCCATGACTGCTCTGGTTCCTGTCCTCAAAGAACAATACTAAGTATACAAAAAAATATATGAAGCCAGGCATGGTGGCACATGCCTGTTATCCCAGTAGCTGGGGAACCTGAAGCAGGAGGATCGAAAGTTCAAAGCCAGCCTCAGCAACTTAGTGAGGTGCCAAGCAACTTAGTTAGGCCCTGTCTCTAAATAAAATACACAAAGGGCTGGGGATGGGGCTCAGTGGTTAAGTGCCCCTGGGTTCAATCCTTAGTACCAAAAATAAATATGATTATAAGCATGGCAAATACTGTGAAGGAAATTTTCAGAAAACCATAAAGTCTTCACTGGGGTGCCTGTTATGGTCTGTGGGGTATATTGACCAGAGTCATCAGGGAGGGCTTCCTAGAAGTACTGAGGGTGGGGCCAGGGTGACAGCTCACTGGTGGAGCCTGTGTTTAGCACTCATGAGACCCTGGGTTCGATCCTTAGCACCAATAATAAAAAATTTTAAATAAAATGGAGTACTGGAGTCAGGCAAGGTGGCACACGCCTGTATTCCCAGCAGCTCAGGAGGCTGAGACTGGAGGATCTCAAGTTCAAAGCCAGCCTCAGCAAAAAGGAGGCACTAAGCAACTCAGTAAGACCCTGTCTCTAAATAATAGCCCTACAAACTAGGGCTGGGGATGAGGCTCAGTGGTTGGGTGCCCCTGAGTTCAATCCCCGGTACCCACCCCCACTCCCAAAAAATAGAGTACTGGACTGACATATCTCAGGCCCTGTGCTAAATATCCCATTACCTCCCTGACGCCATCTTCTACTGTTCTCTCTCCACGCTGCTCCTCCAGGCACCCTTGGGCCCCTGGTTTTGCCATCCAGGCAGCAGGCACTTGCATTAGTGAGCTATTTCTGCATAAATTATCCCCAAATATCATGCCTCCCCGTGCCCTCATGGTGGTCACCATTGGATCTGAAGTAGATTTTGCTCATCGTTTGGTTTATTTATTTATTCATTTTTACTGTGTGTCTCTTGCACTAGAAGGTCAGCTCTCCTTATCCCATTTCTTTTATTTCCTCTGTGTGTGTGTGTGCGCGCGCCGCGCTTGGGGTGGAACCCCGGCCTCACACATGCTAGGGAAGTGCTCTACCACTGAACTATTTCTCTAGCTTTAAAAAAAAAAAGTTTATTTTGTGGTAGTGGGGATGGATCCCAAGAGTGCTCTACCACTAAGCTACATCCCCAGCCCTTTTTCTAAATTTTGAGACAGGGTCTCACTAAGTTGCTGAGGCTGGCCTTGAACTTGTGATCCTCCTGCCTAGCCTCCTGAGTGCCTGGGGTTACTGGCATGTGCCACTGTGCCTGGCTTATTATTTGTTCTATAGATCAGGAGTTGGACACAGCTGCAGTCCTCTCAAGTCCCCATTGGGCAACGTGTTACTGACCTCCCCAGGGGGTTCCTGCCGGATTCAGGTCCTCGCTGGCCCCTGCCATGTGGATGTCTTCAAAGGCAACTTGACTCATCAAAGCCAGAAACCTAGACTCAGGTTCTTGGATCCAGAGCTTTAGGAATTTAAGCCCGGACAAGGCTATGTTAGGGATATTGTATCTGCTAGAGCCAGAAGGCAGGCAGCACAGAGCCCATGCTGACTCCAGGGAAGAGCAAAACAGGAGGGCTGTTGGGGCCTGTACAGGAGGCAGGAACTCAGTCCCTTGATGTCATCACACGTAGAGATAGGACTTCGTTTGCGCCTATGCTCTTCTTCATCATGGGCCACAGTAATTACCATCTTTTTTTTTTTTTTTTTTGATACTGGGGATTGAACCCAGGGGCGCTTAACCACTGAGCCACATCCCCAGCCCTATTTTGTATTTTATTTTGAGGCAGGGTCTCTCTGAGTTGCTTAGGGCCTCGCTAACTTGCTGAGGCTGGCTTTGAACTCACAGTCCTCCTGCCTCAGCCTCCTAAGTCTCTGGGATTACAGGAGAACACCACTGCGCCTGGCCCATTACCATCTTAAGTCTCCATCTACAAGTGTGCGTTTTGCTGTGCTGATAAGGTAAAGGTAACGGTTTTATGCATCCTTGGCTTCTCTGCATCTGGAGTTACCTTTACCATTTGGGAAAGTCTCTGATATTGTTTTCCGAATTGCGCAGACCCTGCTTTGGCTGGAGCTGGGATTTATGGCTGCTAACCGCATAGTCTCAGAACTGACATTCTAGCACCCCATCTTCTCCTTCCCGCAGCCTTGGAGACTAGCTTATCTTTTAACTCCTAATTTTCTAGTATAGCTGTTAACCTGGTAAGACTGAGAGCTAGTATGGCTGTCTTATTTCCCCTGAGATGTTTTTCCCTTCATCCTTAAGGGGTCCTGTCTTTCCGGAAGGTCCCTGGCTGGGTCAAGAAGAGCCAGAGAGATATGGGAGCAAAATGGAAGTTACTATTAACTTTTAGAACCGGATTTCAGAAGTGCTTCTGCTGTGTTCTTAGACTATGTCACTACATCCAGCTCAAGGGAAGAGAATTTCTAAAAGGGGTGAATAACAGGAGGCAAGGAGGATGGGGAAGGATGATCTTAGGATGACTGACAACTGCCTGCTCATTACAAATGCAGTTTTCTTTGCTGGGGCGCAGCTCTGTGTAGAGGGCTTGCCTAGCATGCTTGAACCCTGGGATCATGGGATGGGGAGACAATCCTGGGGTAGATATCCCTGGTCCCTAAACATCATCACAAATCTAAGAGGAAGGTTCCTTTTGAAGGTGAAGGAGGGGGCTAGGAGCCAAGGAATGCAAAGAATGAAGCTCTAGAATCCTGGAAAGGAAGGATCTGATTTCTCCCAAGAGCCTCTGTGGGAAGATGGCTCCCCAAGGTCTTGGTTTCAGCCTAGTGCAAGCGAGCTGGGACTTCTGACCTTCAAAATCGTCAGAAAGCTGGGCAAGGTGGTGCATGCCTGTAATGCCAGCGGCTTGGGAGGCTGAAGCAGGAGGATCTCAGCTAGTCAAAACTAGCCTTGGTTACTTAGTGAGACCCTGTCTCTAAATAAACATAAAAACAGCTGAGGATGTGGCCTAGTGGTTAAGTGCTCCTTGGCTCAATCCCTGGTACCAAAATTGGAGGGGAGGTCAGAAAATAAATGTGTGTTGTTTTAAGCCACAGAGTTTGTGGTCATTTGTTATGGCAGCCACAGGAAACACACCTCCTGACTTGGCCCGAGGGCTCCGCCCTCTCCCCGTGCCCTCATTGGACCTGAAGTAGATTTTGCTCATCGTTTGGTTTATTTATTTATTCATTTTTACTGTGTGTCTCTTGCACTAGAAGGTCAGCTCTCCTGCAACAGGGATTTTTTTTTTTTTTTGGTACCAGGGGGCGCTTAACCACTGAGACACATCCTCAGACTTCCTTGTATTTTATCTAGAGTCAGGGTCTCACTGAGTTGCTTAGGGTCTCACTAATTTGCTGAGGCTGGCTTTGAACTCATGCTTCTCCTGCCTCAGCCTCCTGAGCTGCTGGAATTACAGGCATGCACCACTGTGCCCAGCCAGCAGGGACATTTTTTAGCTGTGTCAAAGACAATTTCAAACAGACACACAGTTAAGAGAAGGGTAAAACATGGGCTGGGATTGTGGCTTGGAGGTAGAGCGCTCGCCTAGCATGTGTGAGGCACTGGCTTCAATCCTTAGCTCCACATAAAAATAAAATAAAGATATTCTGTCCCCCTATAACTAAAAAATAAATATTTCTTAAAAAAAAAAGAAAGAAGGGTAAAACACGTACTATAATTCAGCAAAGTTCAACCCTGGGCTTATCTTGCTTCCTCTACACACCCTTACTGTCGCCCACTCCATGATTTTGAAGCAAATCTCATACATCATTTCGTCCAGAAGTATTTCAGAATGTCTCTCTAAAATTAAGGACTCTGTTAGAACATAGGCATAACTCATTAGTGCAACTCAGAGAGTATTAATAATTGTTTAGTATCATCAAATGTCCAGAGAGTGTACGAATTTGATAGCAGGGACCCAGCTTTAGACAGTGGCAAATAGTAGGTGCTCAAAAAAATGGTAATGACTGAATACTCATGATGATCCCTACGATACTTACCAGATCCATTTCTTTATGATGGGAAAACAGGCCCAGCAAGCAGAGAATCTTTCCTACATTTCTCCAGTGAGAAATCTAGATTTTCTTCCTTCCAAGCTAGGCTTATGTCACTCAGAGATATGAAGGGGTGCGTGGGGAAAGCTTAGGGTTTGCTCAGAGTGGCCACAGTGTCAGGCTGAGGGCTGGCGGAAGAGCTACAGCCAGGGAGACTGGTGGGAATCAGAGATAGGGGACCCTGGAGACCTAACCCACCCCAGGAGACACACCACGTGACCCCTCCTTCCTGCACACCCTCTGGCCAAGTGCCAGGCAGCCCTTGCCAGGGCCTGTGCCATGGTGTTTGGGCTCTAAGATTCTGAATCTGTGAGCCTAATGAGTCTCCCTTCTTAATAAAGTTAACCTACCTTGGGCAGTTTGTTACAGTGTGAAAAGCTGCTAATACATATCACTAAATAAAAGACACAAAGAGGAATGTGAAGCGTGGAAAAGAGGAAGGGAAAGGTCGGGGATTCCCCTAGAAAGTGACTATTTTAAGACTGCTTTGCCAAGGGAGGAGGCACAGCTCAGTGATAGACTGCATGAGGCCCTGAGTTCCATCCCCAACGTCACCAAATAAACAAAAGCCCACACTGGTTTGCCCACCTTGAGCATTTATTGAGTCAGAACAGGATCAAAAGAGAAGGGAGTCGATTTCTGTGCAAACTACCTTTATTTATAAAGAAAACTCCTCCATTTGGTTATAAACATAAAACCAGCACTTCGTGAAGGCACTTAACTGGGGAAGGCGGGGTGAGGATCCTGGTGGAAACCAGTGGGTCTCCCCCAGACCCCAGAGCTTCTGGGAGACAAGGGATAGGAGTGACTCCCAGGGGAAGTCAGTTGTGGGGGGTCTAAAATCCCAGGCTCAGCTGGGAATGGTGGGTTGGCTGCTGAGGGTGAGGAGTGATTGGCAGTCAGGGCGGGAAGCACTTTGGACGGGATCTGCTTTGGCAAATGTGGAGGATCTCCTGCCCCCAAGATTCTCAGCCTCACCCCTGGGGCCTCCACGGTTAAGGCAGATTGCTAAACTTAAGGCTGAAGTTCTCCTCCACTGGCTTCTGGAAGAGCTGAGAAATGGTGGTGAGGGCCCCACCCCTGCAGAGTTAGGGGCACAGGTAAACAGCAGTATGTGGAGGGGGACATCTGGGGCGAGGGCAGGCTGGCTTGCTCTTGTCGCCTGGGAAAACATCCTTCTGTCCGGCTAGACTTTATTCCTCTGAGGCTTCACCCTGGGGAAGAGCTGAGGGGAGCAGACCTTCAGACAGACATTGGGGCTCCAGCCCTCATCCTTCCCTATGCCCACCAAGGAGGTGGGCTGCCTCCATCTCCCATCCCTTCCTCCCAGGCTCCCCCCAGCACTCAGAATCCCAACTCTCTTGTCCCCTCCAAGTACCATACAAGGCCTTGGATTCAGCAGCAGATGGAAGGGAATCTTCTGGGTCTATTACACTGCCATAAAACTGATGCCTCCTTCTCCCTACCACCCAGCTTCTCCTGAATTAAAAGAATATTCTTGATGGGTGCTGTGGTGTACGCCTATAATCCCAGCAGCTCGAGAGGCTGAAGCAGGAGGATCTCAAGTTCAAAGCCAGCCTCAGAAAAAGTGAGGCGCTAAGCAACTCAGTGAGACCCTGTCTCTAAATAAAATACAAAACAGGGCTGGGGTTGTGGCTCAGTGGTTGAGTGCCCCTGAGTTCAATCTCTGATACCCACTCCCAAGGAAAAAAAAAAAAATTCTTTGCAGAAATATAACAGAACCCTCACTCAACCCTGGGGGGATCTTCTAAAATTTTATAGAAGTTAGATTTCTACTCTGATTTTATTAATGGATTCTTCCTCACCTAGCCTCATGCTGCAGAATAAAACCACCTTCTGCCATGGCTGTGATATGCGATTTCCCCCAAGATACTGGGGATTGAACCCTGAAGCATTTGACCACTGAGCTCCAGGCCTATTTATTTATTTATTGAGTCAGGGTCCAACTAAGTTGCCAAGGATTCTGGAACTTGAAATCCTCCTGTCTCAGCCTTCCAAGTAACTGGGATTACAGTCAAGTGCCACAGTGCCCAGCTATAATCCTTGAACTTTCCCCCATCACTAAAATGGGATTCTTTTTTTTTTTTTTAATATTTTTTTAGTTGTACTTGGACACAACACCTTTATTTTATTTATTTAATTTTATATGGTGCTGATTATTGAACCTAGTGCCTCACACATGCTAGGCAAGTGCTCTACCACTGAGCCACAGACCCAACCCAAGATGGGATTCTTTTTTAAAAGTCTTTTCATTCTTGGGGGTTGGGGATGTGGCTCAAGTGGTAGAGCGCTCACCTAGCATGCGTGAGGAACTGGGTTCGATTCTCAGCACCACATAAAAATAAAATAAAGATATTGTGACCACCTAAAACTAAAAAACAAATATTTTTAAAAAATCTTCTCATTCTTTTTTATTAAGCCTTATTGTTATACATAATAGTTGGGTTCATCCTGATAAGATGGGATTCCTTTTTAACCTTCCCATCAAAATAATCAGGGATGATAATAAAAACTTTTTTTTTTTTTTTTTTTGGCAGTGCTGGGAATGGAACCCAGGACCTTGAGCATGCAGACAGGCCACACTCCCAACCCAGTAAAAATGCCTGATCAAGCTGGAATCAACTCTGGGTGTGGTGGCACATAACTGGGATCTTATCAGTTTAGGAGGCTGAGGTAGGAGGATTGCATGTTCAAAGCCAGCCTCAGCAATTTAGCAATGCCCCTAAGCAACTCAGTGAGACTCTGTCTCCAAATGATAAACAAACAAACAAATGAAGGTCTGGGGATGTGGCTCAGTGGTTAAGTTCCCTGGGTTCAATCCCCAGTACAAAAAAAAAAAAAAAAAAAAAAATTAAAGATTTGAAGGGGAACCCAATGGCTGTACTGGCGAGGACCCCACAAAGGCACCGGCCCTGGGAGGCTCTTCCTCACCCACTCCCCTGACTGTGGGCGACTTTCCCTTACTACCGGGGGCTTTTCTCCTCCGTCTATCAAAGATACCCAGCCTGCCTCACCCATTCCACCGGGCTGTCCTCCTCCCTCCCTTTCTCCTGTGAGCTCTGCCCCAAACTGCCGCTGCAGGCCCTTGGGACATCTCTCTGAGCTCACCCCGAAGTAGTTCCGCGGCACGTAGCCCTCCTGGCCGTGCAGCGTAGCCCACCACCAGTCGGTCTCCTCCGGCCCGTCCCTCCGCAGGATGGTGACAGAGTCGCCCTCTCGGAAGGATAGCTCGTCCCCGAACTCGGCGCTGTAGTCCCAGAGGGCGTACACCGCCCCGCTGTGCATCAGCCCCATGCTCTGCTCCACGTCTGAAAGGCCAGGACCGCCATGGTGAGAGCTAGGCGGAGGGCTGGGGACACGGGCTGACCCCTGGCGCTTGTCCTAGCCAACTGGAGTTGTGCGTGCTCAGGTCAGGGGACAGGAGCCAGAGGGGAAGTCTGATGCTGGAATTGGCAGCCTCTAACACTGCAGGACACCGGGACGCGGGTCACCGCCCTGTTCCCCTGGCGCACATTACCAATCACTCCAGCCCAAGGTCCCTAAGGCCAAACTGCAATCCAAGTTGCCCTTCCAGATGTGCGGCAGGGACCCTCCGCTTGATCCCCGTGGTCCCCCTACTCGCCCTCCCTCAGGGAAACTAGGTGACATCTAGTCTAGAGATGGCACAGCCTCTAGACTCCCCACAAATGCAACAGTCCTTAGGCCCTTCCCAGCTGCATGGCTTCTCACCTGCCAGGTGTGTACTGCGGCCTCAGACAGGTGGGAGAGCCCACCTGCTCAGCCCTGTGCCGGGTCGATGGTATAGCTGGAAACTATAACTTCCCACCCCGCAGGTAGAAAGCGGGGAGCAGCACCATCTCCACCCCGTCTCCCCGCAGGTCTCCCTAAAAATGGCACGCCCTCCACTGCCACGCCCCTCCCCGCAGGTGGCCCACTCCACATCCCTCTCTCCAGAGATCCCACTGGTGCAGCACCCACGTCCTCCTCTCCCTGTGGGGCGCAGCCTGCGTTGCAGCCAGGTGGGAGGTTCAGCACCAGCCCAAGAGCCCCAGCGGGGCGCACCTGCCAGGTAGGTGGCGCAGTCAGCATAGCCCTCCCGGTAGGGGTCGCATTTCTCGATGGCGGTGGCGCCGTCGCTGAGAGTGGTGGCAAAGATTGCAGCGCCATGCTGCACAAGCACGGTGCAGATGGCCGTGTCGTTGCACGATGCCGCGCAGTGCAGAGGTGTCCTAGGCGCAGGAGGCATGCGTGAGGGGGTCGCGCCAGCCCGCGCGGCCGCCCATGCCCGCGCCAGTCCCCTGCGGCTTAGGCCTCACCAGCCGTGGCTGTCTGGGGAGTTGACATTGGCGCCCGCCGCGATGAGGAAGTCCACGATCGGGTAGTTGGCGCCGCAGATGGCATTGTGCAGCGCGGTGATGCCCTCCTCATTGGGCTGGCTCGGGTCGTTCATCTGAGTGGGCCAGGAAGGGGCTTAGTCCAGTGGATGTCACCCCACACCCGCCACCTCCAGCTCAGCGTCCCTCACCTCCTTCACCGCCTGCTGCACCACCTCCAGCTCCCCGGTCAGCGCCGCGTCCAGCAGCAGCACCAGCGGGTTGAGCCGCGCCCGCCGGGCCTTGCGCGGGGAGCCCGCCTTCCGAAGCACCGAGCGCATCTCCTGCGGGACAGGGCAGGGACCTCAGAGACTAGGAGGAATTGTTAGTACTGCACACCCATTAGGGGGAGGCCGGGGGCCACAGGCTTAAGGACCAGGCAGCAGCTGCCCAGATCGCCCAAGTACCCAGGGGGAAGGAGGAGGGCTGGGATTCGCATCGGGGAGAGGTGTGTCCTGGCCCCGGTGCTGCGGTCCTCCTGAACTCTACAACAGCAAATAACTTTGGATCTTGACCCTGAGGCCTGCGAGTAACTGAGAGGCTATGGAGTGGGTGGCCAAGTAATTCTAGACCTTCAAGGCAATGAATGTGGAAGCCAGTTATTCACTATACACACAGACACACGTGCACACACATGCATGTGCATACACATATACACGACTACACAAAATAAGTTATGTATTAAAAATATAGATACAGATAAAATGCCATGAAGCATGCATGACAAGTGTTACCAGGTCTTAATTCGAGAGGTTTGGGATATGAGTATTCATCATGTTATTCATGTGCTTTCTTATTTTTCATTTCCTCCTACAAGATTTATTTCTACTGAGTGTGTGTTTGTGTGTGTATGCACACGCAGTGTTAGTTATTCTGGTCTTGGCTGTCTCCAGCATTTCAATGATTGCAAGATTCTGAAATTTAGAGATACTAAGAGGCAGTGAATCCAAAATCTTCAATTTCTCAGTTATTTTTCTTTCTTTTCTTTCTTTCTTTTTTTTTTCCTTCTTCCCAGTACTGGGGATTGAACCCAGGGCCAGGTGCATGCTAGGCAAGAACCTACCACTGAGCTACATCCCATCTCCTTTTTTTTTTTTTTTTTTTTTTTTTTAATTTGAGACAGGTTCTTGCTAAATTGCTCAAGGTAGCCTCAGACCTGTGATCCTCTTGTGTCAGCCTCCCGAGTGGCTAGGATCACCAGTATGCCCTGTTATTTCAAGTTTTCAATATGTTGTGATTGCAGAAATGCTAAATTATACTATTTCCTTCACTATTTCGAATTGTGGAGGGGCCAGGGTTTTGCAATCCTGATATTCTATGAGAACTTTCATATTTTACTATTAGAATTTCATTGCAAAAGACTGAAGGAGATACTCAAATTGTTTATCACAGTTCTGAGTGCTGAGACTTTTGTTCTCGGTACTGATTACTGTTTTTTTCCATGTTTTCTAAGGTGTTTATGTATTCTACGATAGAAAGTGTTAATTTAAAATATTACTCTTAATAAAAAAATTGGGGGGCTGGGATTCTGGCTCAGCAGTAGAGTGCTCGCCTAGCACAGGCAGGACCCGGGTTCGATCCTCAGCACCACATAAAAATAAAGGCATTGTGTTGTGTCCATCTACATCTAAAAAAAAAATTGGGGGGTACCAGGGATTAAATTCAGGGGCACTTGACCCCTGAGCCACATCCCCAGCCCTATTTCGTATTCTATTTACAGACAGGGTCTCACTGAGTTGCTTAGGGCCTCATTAAGTTGCTCATTAATTCTTGAATTTTGTGTCTTTTCAAGCTTCTCTGTGACCAAGAAATTGTGATTCTCTGAGGGGACAATTCTCCTATTTTGAGATATCATCCTTCCCCTCTTGATCTCAGGGCCCTGAGCCTTTTCGTTCCTTGGCTCTACCCTGGAGAGGCTGGTAACAGGCATTCTGGGGTGTCTGCTTCACCCCCACTTCTCTGGGAACTGTCCCATACACATCTACCCACACTGTGTTCAGGACAGTTCCACCTGACTATAACTCTGCCCCCATCCCCGATGCACAGCCAAAACTAAGATCGGCAAGAGACCATACCCTGGGCAAATGACAACATTAATGGCAGCTAACAGTTATGTGCCAGGCACCATTCTACCCACTCAATACACTAGACCTTCACAGCAACCTCATGAGGTGGCTTGTGGGAGACCAACCTTGCACGTGACTGAGTTAACTCCCCTGCTGGGCGATGTGGCCTCAGGCACCCATGCTGCTAGACTGCCGCGCTCTTCTAGGGTCTTCATGCCTAGGCGAGCCTTCCTACAGCCCCATGGGTGGAGCTATGCTCACCTGTTCCTTTGCAATATAACCCCTTGCCCTGTTTAGGATAGAATCTTCCATGGAGGTGCCTTGTGTGTGTCCCCTTCTCTTACTGTGCCCTTGGGTGTGGCCTACCTAGATGTCAGTCAACCTGCTGACAGTGGACATCATGAAGATAGACTCAGCCCCTGAAACCTGACTCCTTGCCTCATTTGAATAGCTTCTCAGTAAAAGGGGTCAGCACAGTGCTCTCTCTCTCTCTTTCTGCTGACCCAAAAGGTCAGAGAAGCTGTCACAGCGACCCCAAAGAAAAAGGTATTTGTGTCTCTTGTGTGGTTATTTTGCGCAGCCCAGTCAGCCCAGTTTACCTGGAGTGACCCCTGAGCCTTTTAGTCACCAGAACAGAAACCTGGCAGTGGCTGTAATTCTCACCATTCACAAATGAGGACACTGAGGCCCAGAGAGGTTAAATGTCTCACCCAAGAATGCACAGGTGGTAAGTGGCACACAGCCAGGATTCAAACACAGGTGAGCCCAGCTCTATGGCCAATGCTCTTAACCACTGGCCCCAGGGACCAGCGACTCAGTCTCCATCATTTGGGAGGCTGGATTCCCAGACTCCTGAACTAGCCCTCAGAAGAGGGCTGCTTCTCTCACATAAGGCACGTACTTGGGAGTGTTTTGTTACAGCAGCTGGCCCCAGACGCTAGCAGACACACCCGTTTCCTCCTGTGTTACTTACCATGCTCTGTGGCTGCTCTGGTGGGCTGCTCTGGGGTGGGGCTGGGGGTGGTAGGGGAGCTGGTGGGGCAGGAGCAGGGGGCCCGGCCCTGGCCTCAGATCCCTCGGTGATGGGCGTCAGCTCTGGCTCAGGCCCCCCAGGCCCTGGCCCGCCATGCCGGTGGAAGAGGCGGCTGATGATCTGCTGGTACTGCTTCTTGTGAGTAGGGGGCAGGGCCACGGCAGGGCTCTGCTCCATGGAGCCCCTGCGTTTGAGAGGCCGAGGAATCTCGGCCAGCACCCGGGCCACCTCCTCCAGCTCGGGCACTGACTGCGCCTCAGGGGGCAGCGCTGGCTGCAGCCTCGTGGGGCTGAGGGGCCGAGTTACAGCGCCTTCGTCTGCATCACCAGCCTCCAGCACCGGTGTCAGCAGCCCCTCTAGCTCAGGCTCAGCCTCCGCCTCGGCAGGGGGTTTGAGGAGGCCTAGCAGGAACAAGAACCCAATCAGAGGACAAGTCCTCAGAAGGCCCCCAAAACTCTCCACAACTTCCAGGGTCTGAAATCACTACCTTATTTTCTGTGTGACCTCAGGGCAGTTTCATGCCCTTTCTGGGCTACATATTCCCTGAACTGTGAACAATACATAATTATACCTCCCATTTATTGAGCACTTAGGATGTGCCTGGCACTTTACATGCTGGTCTTGTTGAACTCTCCCCTCTAGGCTCTTATCTCCATACTATGTGAAGGAAATCTGAACCTCAGAGAGAGTAACTAAGTTACCCAAAGTCACACTGCTGGCTGACTTCAGAATCTGTACTCCTAGCAACCATGAGGACCGGACTTTCCAAGATCTGCAAGCTTTCCTCTCCTACCATCTCGGGCAGAAAACTCCTTCCAGAAGTAGAATCCCAGCATTTAATGATCTCTTCTCTCTGCCTTATTGCCCTTTGGCAGTGGGAGCTGGGTGTGGTGGTGCACACCTTAATCTCAGGGTCTCAGGAGGACTGCAAGTTCAAAGCCAGCCTCAGCAACCTAGCAAGGCCCTAAGCAACTTAGTGAGACCCTGTCTGTCTCAAAATAAAAGCAAGAAGGGGGGGATAGTAGAGGATAGGAAAGGCAGCAGAATACAACAGACACTAGTGTGGCAATATGTAAATAATGGATGTGTAACTGATGTGATTCTGCAATTTGTATACGGGGTAAAAATGGGAGTTCATAACCCACTTGAATCAAAGTGTGAAATATGATATATCAAGAACTATGTAATGTTTTGAACAACCAACAATAAAAAAAAACAAAAAAAAAAAACAAGAAGGACTGGAGATGTGGCTCAGTGGTTAAGCACCCCTGGGTTCAATCACTGGTACCAAAGCAAGCAAGCAAGCAAGCAGGTGGGAGCAGTAACAATCACTTTTGTTTTCTTTTTTGATACTAGGAATTGAACCCAGATGCCCTTTACCACTGGACTACATCCCCAGTCATGTATACATATATATATATTTTTAAAATTTTTAGACAGGATCTTGGCAAGTTGGTGAGGACTCATTAAGTTGCTGAGGCTGGCCTTGAACTTGTGATCCTCCTGCCTCAGCCTCCTGAGTTGCTGGGATAATAGGCGTGCACCACCGCACCCATTGTAACAAACACTATTATGACATAATCCCTGTCACTCTCCTATAAGGTAGATATTAATCTCTCTTCACAGATGGGTAAACAGATACTCAGACAAGTTAGGTAACTCATCCTGAGTCACACAGTAAGTCAGTGGTGGAGAGATGCCGAAACCCTCTCTGCTTAACTCCACAGATCTCCTACCAAAAAACATTAATGATTATCATAACAAATGATAGCTATTGAGGGATTACTATGCATTGGGCCCTATTTCAAGGACTCGATATGGTTTTAATACCATCTCCCATAAGATAGGCTCTTATCATTGTTCAGTTTTTACACTCAAGGAAATTGACGTCCCTGAGGTCACACAGTGTAGAAGCAAGCAGTCTGCCCCAGGGTCCATCCTTAACCACTGTACCATCCCTGGCTCCTGTGCCAATGCCCAAGTTCACCTGGCCTAGCACTCTGAAGGGCAGTGTCTGGAAGGAGACGGTTCTCCCAGCTAATCTGTCCCTTCATTGTCCTCCCTTCACCCAGCCCTCTAGGGGCCTGTTATTGACTCACCTTCATTCACCGGTGGCCATGTTTGTTGGGGGACCTGGGGGACTGGAGCCTGGGGTTGGGCCTGGGGCTGGGGCTGAGGCTGGGGCTGAGGCTGGGGCTGGGGTTGGGGGGGCAACTGGGGCTGTGGTTGGGGCTGGGGCTGCAGTTGGGTCTGGGGGGGTGGCTGGGACTGGGGAGGCAGCTTAGGTGGGGGTGCTCTGGAGAAGACGGAGGACCCAGGGAGCATGGCTCTGCTGGCCCCCTGCTCCCAGAAAGCGTTCTGCAACTTGAATATCATGCTGAGGGGGATGGGACGCTGGCGAGGGGCGCTGCGGGGCTGGGGGCTGGAGGGGGGCATGGGGATGCGGCTGACAGGCTGCCAGCTGCGGGGCAAAGTGCCTGACGGGGCGGCGGAGCCCAGCGAGCGACGGTAGCTGCCCACGTCTGAACGCCTGTCATTGGCGAGAGGGGAGACCTTGTAGTTGCGCGGCAGGGTGGCGCTGGTGAGGTTGTCCTGGAGAGCAGAGGGGGAAAGTGAGCCGGGAGCAGAGGCTCAGAAGGGAAAGAGGAGGAGATAGGGGCACAGGGGCGAGAAGGGAGAGGAGGAGGCAGGAAGCCAGGGGGTGAGAGAGCGGGTCCAGGAGGGGTGCAAATCAGGATAAAGAAGGAAGCGCCTGGGGAAGGGCGTGGGGCTCCGCCAGGAGGCCCCCAGCTCCCTCACCTGGCGTCCCTGGCCCCTCACCTTGCCGGTGGCCCCCAGCGCATCCAGGCTGCTCTCTCTCCAGGGCAACAGCTGCAGGCCTGGCGAGGCGGGTCGGGCAAAGACGTCCAGACCTGAAGGGCAGGAATCATTAGGGCCGGGGTCGGGGGTCCTCGCCTCGGGGCCCCCAATGCCCGGGCTTCCTGGCTCACGTTCGTAGCTGGCTGTCTGCGTGGATTTCTTCTCGTAAGCCACGTCCAGATCAGACTCGTTCCAGGCTTTCGGGGGTCGCCGGCGCAGCGTCAGGTCATCTGGGGCGGGTGGTTGCGCATGAGGATGTGACGGGGGACTGGACCCCAGTCCCCGTCGCCCCCCATTTGGGGACCCTGCCTCACCTTGCGCGCGCAGAGGCGGGGCGAAGGCGCTGCCGCCCGCGCCCAGCAGGGGGCTCCCGAAGGCCGAGGGCGCGTCGTAGGCTGCTGCAGGTGGGCGCGGCGAGGGCCCGCGCTCGGGGAAGAAGGCCTGGGGCCCCTCCGCCAGAGGGCTGCCACGCGGGGAGCCCGCACGTCCCAGATAGTCGAAGGGCGTAGGGGGACCTTGCTGGCGGAGCGGGCCTGACCCCGGTCGCGGGGAGGGAGCACGGCCCAGGGGGCTGGCGGCGCCTTCGAAAGCGCGCGGCCGCGGCGAGGGCGCGCGGTCCAGGCTGCCGTAAGCATCAGGCTGCAGATAGAGCGGGGTGCGCGGAGACGATGGTCGGCCCTTTGGGGATAGAGGGCTGTAGGGGAGCAGGGCCGGAGCACTCTCGGAGCGTCCAAACTGGGTGTCTGCGCTGTCCGTGGCTGTCTTCCGGGGGGACCCTCGGCTGCCGAAAGGCTCGGGGACCGGGCTGGAGCTGTACCGGGACAGCTGTGGGGAGGGCAGGACGTCGGGGGATGAAAGGATACATTAGCGGAGGGGTGGGGTGGGGGCGGTGGAATCAAAAGAGGTCACCAAAGGTCAACCCAGAGGAGAGCACGGGGTGGAAATTTTGGCACAGCGAGCTCAGATGAGCTGTGCTGGGGACGGAGCCCAGACTTAGGGCTGAGGCTAGCCTATCACTGTTTGCGCGACCTGGGAAAAGGCCCCTTTGCTTCCCGGGATCCTGTAGGTCATCCACCTCCCCTGGTCCTCTCTTTCAAGTGTCCTTGAATACCTACGACCTACACAACCATTGGGGGCAGCCTTGACTGAAATCCAAGCCTCCGACCTGGGGTATGGAGAGAAGAGAAGCTGGCTTCCGGGGTCAGGGCAGGAACCCGGCTCACCCTAGGGGGGACTCCGCCCTGCGGGCCAGGAGGAGCTGGCGAGTCCGACCACAGTGACTCAAGCTGCTTAGTCAGTTCGTCCACCTTGGCCGCCGCCGTATCCAGCTCCATCTGCTTCAGGTCCATGTGCTTCATGGCCAGCGCTGGGCAGGCGGGAATGAGGGTCAGGACCGGGCCTCCTGGCAGGGCCCTGCCCCCGCAAGCCCCGCCCCCGATCCCAGCTCACACTGGAAGTTCAGGTCCAGAAGGTCCCGCGCGCTCTGGAATGCCTCGCTGTCCATGGTGCCGGCCGGAGCGGGGCGCCTGCGTGGTGGGGGAGCGGTCTCAGACCTCACCCTCGGGGACCGCGGGGCGCCTCTACTCTTCGTTCCTTCCGCCAGATGTGCTTTACCCTTCCAGTTCCCAGATGGGAAATGTCCACTCCTTCAAAGCCCAGTCCACTCACTCACTACCTAGAAGTCCAAATCGGTTCTAGAAGGCTTCAAACACTTTTCTCTCTTTAGCGGTTCCTTGTTCATCTCTTTATCTCTGCCCTAATAAAATGCATCAAGGGGCTGGGATTGTGGCTCAGCAGTAGAGCAGTCGCCTAGCGCGTGTGAGGCACTGGGTTCCATCCTCAGCACCACATAAAAAAATAAATAAAACAAAGGTATTGTGTCTGACTACAACTAAAAAAGGCGGGGGGCTGTGGCTCAGTTCTGGAATGCTTGCACGTGTGAGGCACTGGGTTCGATCCTTAGCGCCACATAAAAACAAATAAGTGAAATGCTGTCCATCTACAACTAAAAAAAATTAATATAAAAATGCATCAATTCCTTCAACAAGTATCTATTGATCATCTACTATGTGCCAATGAACATTGAATAAAATTGCAACTATCAGTTACTGTGCTGAATGCCAGCTAGGCACCAGAAGATGCTGTGCTAGATGTTAGAGGTATTTATTTAAAATAATAATTGCACCATCTAATACATCCCAGAGTCCATTACTTTCAGTTTAATGAAATAAAAACAAGATTGAGGGGCTGGGGATATAGCTCAGTTGGTAGAGAGCTTTCCTCACATGCACAAGGCCCTGGGTTCAATCCCCAGCACCAAAATTGACTGCAGGGCCACTGTGCTAAATGCATTGCACGCCAAACCTCATTCCATGGTCAAAAGCACCCTAAGCTTAAAAATCTTTGTTCAATGGGCTGGGGTTGTGGCTCAGTGGCAGAGAGCTTGCCTCCCACATGTGAGGCACTGGGTTCAATCCCCAGCACCACATAAAAATAAATAAATAAAATGAAGGAATGTGTACATCTACAACTAAAAAAAAAATTAAAAAAAAAAGAAATCTTTGTTCAAGGTCACCCTGCAAGAAGTCTATAGAACTGGGTTTCATATCAGGTTCTAACATGTTAATTCTGTGTCTTCTCCACGAGACTGGAGGAGTCCCAGAGGGCAGTGATTGCTGTTTCTTCTCCTCAAGAGTCCCCATCCAGGGGAGGCCTGGCTCACAGTGACCCATTGTTAGGAGGAGAAACAGGGAGGTGGCTAGCAGCGGATGGGCAGTTGTGGCCACTGGCCCAGTGGGAGGCCACCAGGAACCGGTAAAGCCAGCCCCATCTCCATCCCCATGGTAGCCACCACGCCTGACAGCCCTGTCACCTCCTTGCTACATTGACCTCTCAGCTTTGGCCATAAGATGTGGGTAGCAGGGCGGGCTGTGGCATGCCAATTGCAGCCTCTGTCTGGGAAACCACGGAAACAGAACCTGTTAGAGTTGGCGGCTCATTTGGGTGTAGTGGGAGCGTGTGACCTTGGGCCATGAGTCCTCTCCACTCTGGGGCCTGGGTTTCCCCATAGTAGAAGGAGAAGGCTATCCTAAGAAGCCCATTCCTTCTCTAAGAGGCCTCCATTCTGAAGATGTAGGGAACTTGAGATTGTAATTAAGGTTCTACAGAGACGGAGTCCCTCAACTTGAGAATTGTTGGCAAGTTCTAAATCCAAGATTCTATCTTTGGAACATTCTAGAATTCTCTAATGTGGCTAGCCCAGAATTGTCTTCCTATTCCACTTTCTAGAGATCACACTGTCTTAGAAGTCTACAGCAGATAAAAGCACAAGAAAGGAGCCAGACTCCCTTCTTTCAAATATGGCAGGATCTCGTTCAGACCCTGGCCAGTGTGGCTCCTTTTCCTAACCTGTAAGATGGGGATAAATAACTCTTCACCTCTTAGGACTATTGTGAGGATCCATCTGGTCTGAAGGAGCAGTAGGAATTCAGGGCTCTGGGAATTGAGGCCTCAGAAAGTAGAGGCTATAGGAATCAAAACTCGGGACTTTTAGAATCTCAGGGATACCCAGGAATCACTGCGTCTGTCAAAATATAAAAACGATCAATTTTGTGCGGCCTTCAGTGCCAGCATTCGACAGTCAGCGGTTCTTTTGGGGGACTGCGTGATTTCCGAAAGTCTAAGGTTCTCAGATTCCATGCTGACATCCTAAGGAAATGCCAGCAATGGGTGTGGGGTTGTCCTGGAGGCTGGTGCCGGGACCGCCAGAGGGCGCACTGTCACCGCCCGATCCCGGCCGGGAGGGCGGACAGCGCCTGAGCTCAGAGCCCGGGAATGCGCGGCGGGCCCGGGCAGGTGCTCATCTCCCGGGGCAGAGGAGGGGGCCGGGCGGGGCGCGAGGGCGGGGCGCGAGGGCGGGGCGCGGGCCGCGTCTCTGTTCCCAGGCTCCTGACCCTGCCCTCCGCCCTCAGGTCCTCTTCCCCGGGCAGCCCTCCAACTTCGGCTCCCCGTCCCGCGGGCTCCCATCGACCCCCAGGTATCCTCCCCTGGGTTCTCCTCTCCACGCCCCCTCTGCACCCCAGCCAGGTTCTTTGGGGTTAAAGATCCTGTGGGCTTCCTGGAGGAATCGTCCTCAGTAAGGACGAAATCAGGGTGTCGGAATAGGCTGGGAACACCTAGATGAGATTCCTCCAGCTTTGTCCTGGGCTGGGTCTTATTTTCCCCTCTCTGGAACCGGCTAGGGACTTCCCTTCTCTGAGCCTCTGCCTCCAGTAGATATTTAGCTTCTCTGAACCTGCTGCCTCCTGGGTATAATGGGGGAATTAATACTTTCACCTCAAAAGGGTGTGAGGATCGGGTGACCTGATTGATCTACAGTGTTGAAATAAATTTCACACATCCAGAATTCTAAATCAACAGCCTTTCTTGGTGGTTCATTAAGATAACACAGGGTCAGGCCAAGTGAGGGCTCAAGATCCTAAGTCATTTTTCTCCCAAAAGGGCCCTTTCAACTCTGAGATTTTAAAAGTCCTAAGTTTCAATGCCTCTGGTCTCAGCTTCTTTGCCTAAGGATCACAGAGCTCTAAACTCCTCTTGTACATTCCTGAGTTCTGCCCCGTGATCATGCCCAGTAACTTGGGGACTGGGACAGGGAGAGCCCTGAAAGATTCCAGACAGAAGCTGGCAAGAGCCAGTGTCCACTCTCCAGCCTCAATTTCCCCACTGGTAGGGAGGAGTCCTTTCCTGGGTCAGCAAGCATCCTTCATGGTGTAACGCCCAGGTCCGACTTTTGGGAGGTTGCCTGAGACTTCTCTAGACAATAGGGTCCGTCCTGTCTACCTGCCAGACCTGAGCCTGGCATGACATGAGCCGTTTTGGCAGCCAAATTATTATTTTTAATTTTATTTCAGGCTGCCACCAAATGCCCTTCAAGCCCAGACATTAGCAAACACCCCCCTCCCTGTTTAATCCCCCCCACATGATGCATAGGGGTGGAGAAAAGGGGGAGAGAAAGAGGGAGGTGTCTGCCTGCCCCTGCCCTCCCCCGGCCTCAAGGACAGACACCTCCAGAATTAGCCTCTATCCCTCCCTTATCTCTCACAATACCTCAGGTCATACTGTGGGAGTAGAGGTGACATTTCTCACTCCAGGGTCAGGACAAGGAGCTCTGGGAGGGAGTTTAGCTAGACAATCTGGTGGAATCCTGCCCCCCACCCCAGAGAGCTGCCATAACCGGAAGGAAGAGGTCAAATCCTGACCCCCTAACACTGCTGTCACCTCTAAGCCTCAGTTTACCAATTCTTCTTCGTGCAATGCTTCCGTGGCAGACCAAACCCCCATTCTGGAATTCTGCCCTAGGCTCTAGAATGACCTCTGCAAACCCCCAGAAGTTTCCCATCCCCATGGGGCAATAGGAGGCTCCCCCACCCCCACCAGGGGGCTCCCTGGGGCTGACGTCCCTCCTCTGGTTAGGCAGGTCTGACGCCTCAGTTAATGACATGTTGGGGTTCGCTCAGCGGCACAAGGGAGATTGGAGAACCTCCCCAGTTTTCTCACCCCCCTGCCCCCACCCTAGAGCTGGAAGTGCAGGGAGGGCAGGGGCATACCCTCCAGAGGGACCCAGGGTACCTGTCCTGGTCTATTTCAGAGACCAGTTTCCACTATCTCCGACACACCCTTAATTCTGCTCAGAGACCTAGAGGCTCAGTCCAGAAGGCAGCCGGAGGACGACGGTAGAGTGACCACTCTTTCCACCCCCGTCCAAGCCTCCCATTTCTGCCTAAGATTCAGGGATCTGAGGCTCTAATATTTCCCAGACTCGGACTTCCAAAAGTCCGCAACTCGAGAGACTCAGGAATCCCTCCTCGAATGTCTCACTGGACCCCTTTGGACCTGAGTCCTCCATTCCAAGAACTCAGACATCCAAACCCCTTCTCCTTTCACCCAGTAATTCAGGCATCCTAGTATCCTAGTTCTCTTTTCCAGGCACCCAGGCATCTGCGCACCCCAAATTGGCCCTGGGACCCGGCGTCCAAGTCCCCTCCTACTTCCCTCCCCCAGGGACATGGTGTCTGGTTCTTTAGGGGTCGCTGGACCCCTGAAGGGTGAAACTCACGGGTCCGGGGCAGATCCTGGCACCAGGGGGTCTTCCTCCGGCTCCAGCTCCAGCTGCTGGGAGCCGAGGACGGGGCGGGGCAGGCGCACGGAACAGGTTAGACGACGTGACTCTTGCTGGAGGGAGGCGGGTCCCCGCGGGGGGGGGGGGGCGGGCAGAGATCGCGTCAAGCACCCTGGGACTTGTAGTCCCAGAGGGGCAGGACGCAGACATTCCCATATATATTCACTCTAAATCCATTTCACAGACAGGAAGAGCAAGGCCCAGAAGCCAAAGGTGATCCGGCCAGCAAGACACAGAAGGGTCGAGACTCCCACCTCAGGTAGAAGCAGAAGACGAACTCCTGGACCCTTCCTCACCCCTCCAGGCTCAGTTTCCCCTTTCCTGAGTGAAGATTTGGACGCCACTAAAGGGGTGGAAAATTGGAGCATAGGGAAAGTCACAGGCTCCAATCCACAGATTTAAGGCCAAATCTGTAACCCCTTGGGTCTCTGAATTTCAATCTCCGGGTGGGTGAAAAGCGGCGGAATGAACATCCCAGGATTTTCCAGCAAGAGCCCAATAGGGCTAAACTACAATCCCCAGTAGCAGGCGCGACCGACGTCCGGCGCCTCGAGGCTTCGGATCCTCTGGGAATTGTAGTCTCGGAGCCCATAAGGGGTGGCTCCCCAAAGTTTCTCTCTCCCACACGCGGGTCACTGTTTGGAGATCCCAGGCGGAAAGAACACTTCCCATTCCCCTTGACCCTCTGGAAAGCCGCAGAGGAAGGGGGAACACCATGTCTGGAGTTGGATCCAAAATCTCCGCAGAGGGGGCGGGAAGCGGCGCTGACACACTGGCCAGGAATGCAGTCGGGTCACCCTGTCTAGCCACTGTCCCGAAGCTCCACCCGCCGCCCCACGCGGTGCAGTTCTGGTGGGAAGGGGCGTGGGCATGTCCCCCAAATCCGCACCCACGTGCGGCTGTTTATAGGCGCCTCGGGGCAGGAGGGGTCGACAATGAGAACTTCTGTCCCCTCACCCTTACTCAAAGCCATAGGGGATATTTCTCAAGCACTAGACTTGATCCCCTAGAGCATTTACGAATCTGCTTTGATCCACGAACCCCGCCCCTTCGTCCGCACAGTTCCAGTTCCACGCGAGTCCCGCTTCATAGGCTCCGCCCCCCAGACCCTCAGGCTCCTCCTCTTGTGTTTCCCGCTACCCCAGAATCCAGAAGCCCCGCCCCCTAGCTGTTACTTAAAGCCCTGCTGGGAAAATTACCCCATTCTTCCATTTTTCGAATTTTCTCTTAATTCCTAAATTTCCAAGGCATCCAAGCTTCTCCAGAGGAGATTCTAACGTTACAAGCACAGTCCTGCCACCCAGGATCCTTACCTGCTTCTTTTAGGAATCTCAGTCCAATCGATCTTCCTGTCTCTTTAAGAGTTAGAGCCTATCTCTGCGACTGCCCCTTTAAGGCGGTGTCGGAATAATTCATATCTGAGATAGTGTGGGGGAGGCTGGCCGAGACTTGGCGCGGCACTGACTCCCGCGGCCCAGTGAACCACCTTCTTTCTGGAGATTTTGGTAATATAGTCATTCCTTGCTGGTCTGCTCTATACACGTTGAAACGTCCCTCATTTCTGCCCAACGGAGCAAACGGGCGCCGAGCGACACCCCCCACGCTCCCACGCCACTTGGGCACTTCGGGAAGAGGCCCCGCCCACTTTGAGCCACGTGGTCGGCGGCGGGGTCCGCTCAAAGTCGGCTGCTGGGTCTGCGCTCCGCCGGGGGCTCGGGATGGCGGCGACCCCGTCCGCCGGTGAGCGGGCGTGTGGACCGGGGCTGGGGGCGGGGAGAAAGGGGTGCCCGGGAAAGTTCTGGCGAAAAACGGGGCATCCCGGAGACGGGGAGAGCGAACCTTCCAACGAGGGCGCCAGGATGTGGACGGCGAATACTGGGGGGAATACCCGTGGAAAGAAGGGCGCCCCCAGGGGTGGTGTGGGGACGCCCCTGGAGAAGAGGTGGGCACGGGATTGACGGGGAGGGAACAGGACGCTCAGGAGGTTGGGACTAATGGATTGGTGGGCGGCCTTCAGGATTGGATGTCGACTGATCCCCGTTTCCTCTCTTCCCGCAGGTGCTGCTCCGTTCTCTTGTCCCCCCGATTACACAGCGATACCCCCAGCCTCAGAACCCCGTTTCTCCTTGGAGGAGCTGTCTGGCCCAGATACCCAGCTGTGGCTTATCCAGGCCCCTGCAAACTTTGCTCCAGAATGGTGAGTGGTCCCACCCACCTCCCGGGAAGACTCCCCACTCCAGAGGCTGCACTTGGAGGGTGTTTGGAGGGGCATTTCTGAGGAATCCAGTGACTTACAAACAGATCTGACCAAGGTTCTCCCCTCCCTTTCTCCCCTCAGCCTCAACGGGCGGCTGGTGCCTCTCTCTGGCTCCCAGACAGTGAAGGGCAAGTTGGCAGGACAGCGGCTGCGCTATCAGGTCCTCAGCAGCAGCGGTCCCCGGGCAGGAGAAGCAACCCTGCTGGCTCCTTCAGCCCATGCAGGCGGTGGACTTACTTGTGCCCCGACCCCCCAGGGCAGCCTAAGGATCTTTGAGAGTCCCCAAAAATCCCTATCAGGGACCCCTCTGCACCCCATCCCAATGAACCCCCCACCACAGATCCCCCCTGGCCTGAGGCCTCGATTCTGCGCCTTTGGGGGGCAACCACCAGTCACAGGGCCTGGGTCAACTCTGGCACCGAAGCCACCTGTGTTGGGGAAGAGGAAGAAAAAGAAGCAGATGCCAGAGGCCGAGGCCTCCCGGGAGGCAGTGAATGGGTATGAGGCCCTGGAGGTGGACCCAACTCTGAGGTCCCTCAAAGTAGATGTTGGGAAGAAGAAGAAGAAAAAGCTGCCAACAGAGGTGGTGGAGCCTGCAATGATAGAGCCCACAGCTGAGCTGCTGGGGCCTCTGGGAGTCCTAGTCCCACCCACCACGAAGAAGAGGAAGAAGCCCAAAGGGGCCGAAGCAGTTGACCCACAGGTCGGGATGCCAGAACCAGAAGGACAGATGGCCGAGCCAGAGCTGGCGGTGAAAACAGAGCCTCCTGAAGAGGCAGCCCCTTCCCCAGGCAGGAAGAGGAAGAGGAAAAAAGAGGCAGGAGTGGAGCTGGTGGAGGGGACGGTGGCCGAGCCTCAGCCACAGGTGAAGGTGGAGCTGCAGGAGGAAGCCGTCCCACTGCCCCCCAAAAAGAAGAAGAAAGAAAAGAGGCAGAGCGCAGGGGCGGAGTCGGAGGCTGAGGCTGGGGAGCCAGAGAGGCCGCCTCTGGTGCTCTGTCCCCAGAAAGCAGAGCCTGAGCTGCCAGGTGACGACGACAGGCCTCAGGCCGAGGCAGCTCTGGTGTCCTCCAAGAAGAGAAAGAAGAAAGAAAAGTGGCAAAGTGTGATGCTGGAGCTGGCGACAGAGGTGGCAGAGTCTGAGCTGCCAGGTGACCTTGAGCCTCAAGTAGCTCCAGCATCTACCAAAAAGAAGAAGAGAGAAAAGGGGCACAAAATGACAGAGCCAGAGACCGAGATGACTGAGCCACCATGGGGGACAGTGGAGCCTGAGGTCAGCGCAGCACCAGGACTGACCTGGAAGAAACCGCGGGGTCAGGAAGGCGGCGAGATGCCAGAGGGGGTGCCCCAGGAGGAGATTCCAGGGCCACTGCTGAATCTGGAGCCCAGGGAGGCGGCTCCCACAGGACCAGAAAAGAAGAAGAAGCACAAGAGGAAGCCTCAGCAGGAGCCTGTGGCCCTCCCCCAGGGAAACTGAGGAACCAAAACCACCCAGGGCATCAGAAGGTGAGCAAAGCGA